TTGCGAAGCCGCCGCTAAGAGCCGCCCCTTGAAATTTGACGGACCCTTTGGCGAAAGAAACGCTTGTGCGACACCTGCTTTCACGACCAACCGATAGCCCACATACCAGATTCTAAGATGTTTTGTCGGACGCAAAAAAGTTCTGTCGATGGTCGCGCTCCTTGATCTCTCAATTCTGGGGCCAGTCTGTTTGCCACATGGGGCTTCTTTTTACTCAACATTCTGGCGGAAAAGTGGGAAACTTTCCAAGAGCGGAGCGCGCCTTCGTTTTCAATGCTGCAAGCAATGAAAGGAAACCGCTCCAGACAAAGCGGACATGCGGCCAGCAGTAAGGCAGACGTAGCAACGGTCCATGCTCCCTACGACTCTAATACTTCCTTCACGACTCCAGTATCAATGCGTTATTGAGTTGACGTCCACCATCTTCTCCCATTTCGAGGTGATGGCGCGTGTGCTTTGTACCCCCCAAAGTTCTCATCTCGCCGCTCGTCAGATCTCTGCCCAAGTACCCAACGGCCTTTCTGTTTGGTCAATGTTTATCCATGACGTACTACCGGCGATGAAGGTCGTGCCGTGGGCACTTTCCACTACCAGGGCAGTTTCCAAGAGGGACGGACCCAAATGAGCCACGACAACTCCTCTCTGAGAGGATATGGATGTCACTTCAACTGCGTTCACGCCCAAAGCCCGCATCTTTCCAGGACTGTCATCTTCGAACTTAAAGCACACGTGTAGTCGAATACACGTTTCTTCCTGCCCACCAAATAAGAAACCCTGTCAACTACAATGGAGTGCTACTGTTTTCCTGCTCCTGGACTTCAAGTGGATGCGGAGAACCCTCGGATACTTTCCGACTGGCAGATCCTTCCACCCAATTTCGATAGTTTCAGTGATTTGCTGGTCACGTAACTCCATCCAGGGGTCTCGTACGTTTCTGGATCCGAAAGCTGCCGGTTTCTACCATTGTGCTGACCGATTGCTTAGCTGTACTTGGGTCTGATTGAAGTGTGCTAGTGTGGTGGCGGTGAATATACGACATTTGAGAGCGCATCCGTTCCTCGGGTCTATGTCCGCCTTGGAACTCGGACGCCACCGATACTGGTGATGCATGTCCTCCAAATAATTCTGTTGAAGCACCTGGCTGAGTCAGGATCCGCAGCCACAATCACTTCTGAAGAGTCGAAAGAGCTTTTCAACGTTTCGGGACGATTTGATAGTTCTTCAGAGCCCTGACAAAACATCGGAGCTTTTTGTAACGATTCGAAAGAATCGTTAAAGTGAGGGATGTTTTGAAGCGCGGAGAGCTTCAGCTGGCTTTGTATTCTTTCATCGAGCAACTTGGAAAGAATGTAAAAAAAGAAGCCCACCAAGCATTCTACGGCTCCGATTGTGAAATTTGGCATATGAGGTATGAGTAGCCATAGAGACGCTGACAGGATTCAGCAGCAAGGTATGCCAAAGGCTTCTGCAGAAATTTCTCCTGGATAAGCCGAGTTGCAAGAGGCTATGGCGTGCCTTTTGTTTCTGATGTGGTCATCGTAGTATTCCGACTCGCACCCCAGGCGAATATTGGTGAGGTCGTTTCAGCTTTCGAGGCCATGATGACGCTCCGATCATTGCGTTGCTCAATATGCGGCGCAGCTCTGGGCTGCAATTTCCTTGGAAGCGATAAGCCTCTAGTGATTAGTCGATCGTGACGCCAATAGTTTCCACACCCTCAGCTTTTTCTGGTGAATTTCTGTGGACTTCGGATGCTGACGGTACTGAAAGACGGGGCCATAGCGCTGCTGAGACGTGGCGGCTGTCTTTTGAAAATGAGGCTTCTAGTTGCTGCTTAGTTGCTGCCACTCTGCTCTTTGGCTTGCAGACCCTCTTGGCCAGCGCTCAGGTGACGGTCGGATCGGAAGCTTGGGAGCGCGCTTCGGTAATTCTGGAACTTGAGTGATTTTTCTAGCAGATCCCTGCAGCCCAATGACCGGGAACGCAAAAGCGAACCTCGTGCGTAGCAATTTATTTCCATCAAGCGGCCGTGTTTCAGGGTAAAAGCGTTGAGCCGGCTGAACGTTCTGTTGTCGTCGATTGAGTGCTTCGTGGCATCAATCGGAAACGGATTGTATACGTATATTCAAAACTTCTTTTCGCACCTCCTCCAGCGCTTTCGGGTTCTCGGAACGTAGGATTATTCCAACGGCTTTTATTCTGCGGTATGCTTAAGATGATTATGTGCTCTGTACGCCCGAGATGTTCCCTTCGCCACATACCGCTTTCCAAACCACGTCGGTATTATCCCAATTACCCTGATGTGCAATTTGTGCCTGATGTTTCGTTCGTGGCGATGATTGTCGTTCCGTGGGCACTTTACAACCCACCCAAAAACTCAGCTTCAGTTGCCGCTTGAGCCGTGGGCAGGATCTGCTTTTGAAAAGTAATTGAATTCGGTTCCAATGTTTCGACATGATTGCAGTGGCACAGTGGCACCTGAGACGTTTCTGTTGGTTTCGGGAACCGACTCAACTTCAAAATAAAATATCTGCAGCATTTGAAACGGTCTGGACGAGTTTCTATTAGAGTCGCCATCATTATCGAGTCAACGAGAACACAATGATTGAGGACTTGGTCTGCTTCTTTCCGAGTTTTTGTAAAGCTACCCGGCACTCAACGATTAGGTGCTTGCCAGGCGCTAGGAAATGCACTTTTCCTACATTAACCCTTTTGGTCTTGAAGACCCGCAGGTCACGTACGACTCTTAAGCACACCTTATGACACTGTTTTCAAAGACTGGCATGGGTCCGACCGCCGCTTGTTTGTCGAACACTGTGCCGCTTATAGCTCTTGTTAGTATTACGAAGTGGCTGTGAAAGAATTAAGTGTTGGGAGCGAATCGCTTCTCAAGTGGAGTTTCTCAACAATTGGACGCCACGCTAAGAGCCTTCATTACGTTGGGAGATGGCCGTTCGCGGATGCCTCTGCTGCATTACCTGCCATGCTGAAAGGCCAAGCCCACGTCCGTCATTTTCAAATACTCCAAAGACTTGTGTTTCCATGCGCGCTCGTCGACGTCTAAACCGGTGTCCTGTTGGCTTGCCATTTGCCACAGTGTTTTGTCACTGAAAGCCTGGTTAAGGAGCTGTGGATGATTTGAAGCGCAGAGTCTTGGCATCTTTATGCTGCAGTTGGTCTGTTCACAGAACCGGTTCCGTTCGTAGAGTCGCAGTTGCTGCGGGCAGTGTGGCGGACATCGCATTCACATCGTTTTCCTAATTTCTTACCTATAAAAGGTACTTTCTAGACAAGGCCAGGCCTTTGGATAGCCCATATGTTTTGCCGGGTTGACGGACGCTCTCAGCCTAACGGCCTTTTTCTGTTTCGCAGGCACGGGCACCCCGTTTGGAACGAGCTGGTAGAAGACGCGCGTGAACCCATGCTGTCGCAACCGCTGCGACGTTTCCGCGGCGTCAACCTGGAGGTTGCAAGTAGCTCTTCAGCTTCTGAGCTTAGGCCCTTATATCAAAACGAGTACGTCAGAGTACGTCAGGCAGATACGTACAGCTGGTAAAGCTTGGGTCGCGGTGCGCTAATCCAGGACGCCTTTCGATTCAAGGCGATGGGCTGCAGATTTCAGGAATTCCTGATCTACTGATATTACCGAGTCAGTCTCTCTTCAGCGTCGCTATATCAGAGAAAGAGTACCAGTCATAAGAATGTTCGTATTCTGTCAGGTTCATAAGACAGAAAGATTTCGAACGGGGCACAAAGTCAACGTACGCCCGGCCAAGCTTGCAAGGATGTGGCAAAGTTTATCAAGCTTTTTCGGACTCGAGTTGACCTATGCGCGCTCTGGTCACAACTCGACTAGGTACCAGAATACATGAGGCTTCATGCATCCAAGTATGGCGCAAACAGTGGTGCATGAATGAGACATGGTCGGTACTCGCGCCGCGACACGTTGCGACGTCTATCAGCCGTCGAAGTTGAAGATGTCTGTCATCCGCGCAGTTATAATAGCGGCCGCAATATATATCGAATGTGTATGCACGCGAAAGTTGCATGCTGTAGCGAGATCGAAGCATTTCAAGCATGTGACGTACAGGCGCTCATGAACAACTCGTATTGCCACCACTTAGTACTACTAGCGGCCAGACCTATCGGCGGGCGGCCTTTACGGTGCAGCCTGCCGCGGCGGCGCACATCGTGCAATTTGCTAGTACGATGATGAAATATGACCTCTTCTCCCCAAACGATCGTATAGCCCCTGCCTGACTCGGATGGTCCTTGTAATAGAAGTATGAATGAATGAATGACCAATTGGCCCATCAAAGCGCAGGCAGGATGCGGCCGCGCGGGCCAGACGTACAAGTACCGCGGCCTGATGAAAGGGCCCGGATGAACGGATTTGGACGTAAGATCATGTCAGTTAGTCCAATGTGAGCCCTTCGAAGCCACTGCGCAAATAAATTACGGCCGGCCTAGGTGCTAAAGGAGGCACACACATGGTACATCATTGCGTGCATGTTAGTACCTGTTTATTATCATCACTGCATGCCAGACACTGCATGCCTCGTGCACAGTGACACTGAAGCCTTGCAGAGTTTTCAAAGTCCGAAGGTCTTCCATATCAAAGACCAACTACCGGTAGCTGTCCATCGAACTGAAATTCACCACGCACATTTTCATGAGCATGTGCAGAGCGCGCGCACCAAGCCAAAGATATGTGGCCGTTTTATCCATTTACGCGGCCGGCATGCCGAACTAAAATTGTTTTGCCCCGGTGCCGCCAGTGTCCACGTGGTGTCTGGCAAATTCTGCATGCTTATTATTCGAGTCGAAGCCAAAATTTTGACCTTGAGCTGCGAGCAAACGGGATCAAAATCAGTGTAGCGTGCATACTTTTGATCTGATGCGCTCAATTGCCAACTTTGATCACTGAGTCCGGGACGATCTGAAGCGATGATCGCAAAAGACATCCGAAAGCAAACTCGGGTTGCTTACGCAATAGAGAAGCGTGTTCAATAGGAAAATAGAGTCAAGTAAATAAATGTCAGTTTGACTTCTGCGGTTTTATACTGTACGAACGACGAGCGAATGCCATGCATGCTGTCCAGCTTTGACTCGAGCGTCCAGTGTTACTACCCCGAACTGCTTCCTTCAAGCTCCTGAACCTGTTGCCGTGTTACTCTCAATTAAATGGTCTAAGTATCTCGTTCAAGCGCATGTCTTGGGAGGCTAGCGACCGACTTAGCAAAGCAACAGCAAGATAACAAATCGAGCGGCCTTGGCAGTTCGTATCAATTACCCGTGTTCAGTTGAATGCACCTACTTCTTAACCTTGGCGTACGTACTTCAGCAACTCTATCCCGCGACTGCAGAAGTAGAGCTGACGTGGAAGCTAGTGATTGGCGGTTGGATCGAACCCATTTTGGGTTACCTAATGGTACACAATTCTCTGCGACTGCAAAGGGCTGTGAAGTTTGTCGTATGGTACACGTGGCGTCCGTTCGCGGGCGGTGTGAATACGCTGCCGATGGGCTGCTGCTGCGGCGCAAAGTTCAGAGCTTTATTGTTAACCTAAGCGCTAGTCAGGCTGGCCAAAACCCGCGAAACCCACAAGAGTCAGTTTACCTAACCCACATTGTCGTAACCAAACGCAGGCTAGCCTACAGCGACCATCCCGCACGATCGTGCCTCCGCGTCTGCAGACTGCCAGCTCAATCGGGTTACCCTAACCTCGTCAACTGGTTACACCTGACCGAAGCCGTCACCAAACGCGCCTAGCTGACGTTCTGGAAGATGTTGATGATGTCCCCCGTGTGCCACAGCGAGTAATCCGGCATGGGGAACCCGTTGGTGTCCAGAACCTGCCCCCCCTTAACGGTGATTCTGAGCCCGACCCCCCCCTGGCCGCCCAGATTCGAATTAGGGGACCACCAAGCACCCCAGCCCTGCACGCGGAACCCGGTATGTACCACCCGGTTCCCGTTGCCGGAGTTGCCGCCGTTGCGGTCCTGGGCGGTGTAGAAATCGACGGCGATGATCTCGCCGGTCGCCCCCAGGCGCGAGATGACGACGGCCTTGGCCCACTGGTTCCACTCCTGCAGGCGCACCACGATGTTGCCGGACGGCATGTTGGGGGCGCCCATCGTGTTGCAGTTGATCCTGGGAAGAGTAGCGGAGAAACGAATGAGTTTCGTTCACAAATGGAGGAACCTTCAGAAGGATTTCCATCCTGTTGGCACCTCAACCTAAGACGAGAGTTGAAATATATGAGCCAAGGAGATTCGAGAGCGGGGAAAAGCAAGGGAGTTGAACGGAATAGAAGGAAGAGGGTGCGGATTCAATGCTTGGGGAGCCGCGTTGTGAAACCCATCGTGTCGTAATTAATTCGCCAAACGGGGGAGTCACAGACGAGAAACAATGTCATAGTCTGTCCTTTTGCGACAAGGGGGGGCGAGAAGAAAGTCGTTCGAACCGAACCTCAAAGGAAGACCTGAGAGCTTTTCAATTCAACCAAATATGTCAGAAGAAACAAACAGAACGAAAAGGAAAGCGCAGAACAACGGCAGGAGGTCGGAGGTGCCAATTCAGTCGAGAGAGAACAGAATACGAAAGGGCCATGGCGATATGTTTTGGGACGCCCTTGCCACAACAGGTGGTTCTGACCAGTACGAGCGTGAGGGCAAGCCAGAAAGAAACCTTGCTTATCGGTCTTTTGAGTCAGGTAATCAAGGTTTTCATTGTTCGCTGACTCAAGTTCTCATTACGAACCCACCAATCGCACCCCGTTTCTACAGCGGTCCCCAACAGGAGCCCAACACCGAGGCAACTCCCTCAGAACAGAAAGAGCACGCACGGACCCAAAAATGGAAGGAAAAGATCTGCTAACCTGGTCCATGTTCCGGTGAAGATCCCTCCTTGCTCGGTCCGAGTCCCCGGGCGGTAGATCCGGAACTCGGGCAGGCACAGGTCGATGTGGGAGCCGAACGGAGGCCACTCGCGGTTGCCCAACTCGTCGAGGGCGTCGGTGACGTCAGTGATGACGAAAGCCAGGTTGATCCCCCCCTCGGAGAGGATCCCGCACGCGCCACAGCCGCCCAGGTGCTCGAAGTGGCCGGAAGCGGCGTGGAGGGGGTCTGCAAACCAGAAAGGCAACTAAGTTCAACACAGAAAGGTACAGCTTTAAGTGGGTTTTAGAAAAGCTTCAGAACCGGCCAGAATGAAGTCGAAGCGCGTGAATCAATGGGCTGCAACCTGTCAAGATACACCTCATCGAGTGACGCAAAGGATCCAGTCGGGTGTTTGATTCGATCTGGTGATACTGCTTTTTGTTGGGCATCACATCGAAGCGACCAGGATCGGTGTCTGCCTAGCACTCTCTTGATGTATACAAACAGGAGACTTGCGAGACGGCACGGCAGCTTCTGACGTCGCACTTCTTTAAGCGACGGCGGTGAGAAAGGATGTGCCAATAGCCTGCTGCTTTGACAATCAAAGATTGCGCTTAAATGGCAGGTAAGGCACGCAACGATCTTTCCAAATGTTCATTGAGAAGGACCATTGCTGGGTCGATGAAGATTTGCAGAGACTCTTGGAAATGACAACACGATCCAGAAGGGATAAAGAATCCGAAAGTCTTCAGAGAGATTCGATGACTAAGGGGAGGGTAAGAAGCATCAAGCCATCGCGTCTGAACTGTTTCTCTGAGCAAACCAAACGAACAGCGAAACTCGCGCAGCAAGTCAAAGCTTAAACAGAAGCCCCTTACGAACTGGTCATGAAAATATCTAGAGTCCGTGTCTTGCTACGACCTTGGAAGGAAGGACTCATTCAACGGATGACGTCATTGATGTGCTCATCCACGGCCCAAAGCTACCTGTGCTTGGTTATGGTAACTGACAGATGGCAGCTTGGTGAGGAAGAAGTGGGGACTCACAGAGGGAAGTCTGGAGGAAGTCACCGCCTGGGCCCCTTGCTCGTCCGTTGGTGTCAGTGCCGTAGCCGCATTGGCCTTCACCTGAGACACAAAGGACAGCAGTCAGCCATAGCTTTATATTCGTGGAAGTCAGAGCACGCTTCGTCTCCCGTGGTTTGATCTTTCTCATATGCTTTATTCAGAGGTCGACTCAGTGTTTGTTTGTAGGCCTCCTATAGAAAGGAGCCAGCTCAAATAGTGTAGCTGCTTTGAACAGCTGAGCTCAGAAAGAAGCCAAGCTGGTACAACCAGGGTGGGCTAAGCTTCTAGATGGCATATTTGATCACGCGCTCAAACAGGAAGAGCTGAGCCTTGTTTGCTTTTGCAGCTCAGCTGAAGATAAGGGATGGAGCTCAGATCAGACAGGAGAAGGCTCCAGCTAGCAGGACACCAGCCAAAAAGCAGCGCTGAATGGACCAGAAGCAGGGTGAGGAGCCTGGTGTTAAATCGCCGAGTGGAGTACCAGTTCTGAATCTTCAATGCAATCAGCCCAGAGAAAGCTGCCAAAATTTATGATTGGTACCAAATACCCACATGTTTAGAGTTCTCCTAGGGACCTTGCTCAGCTACAATGGAAACAAGGCCCCGAGAGGCCTTCTCAACATGTGGCAGCTCAGGAGAACACAAGGAAACACGTCACATAATAGCAGCAACAATCAATGCAGCCAACTCACAAAACTCTTCTGCATAATTGGAAAGTGTTGATTTCATCGATCAGTTCGGAGGATCAGAAATGACAACATAAGATCAAGGTCAAACATAGACATTTCAAGGCAGTTGTTTAAGTCTCAAGCCAATGAAGCAGCAATGTAAGGAAAAAGCCAGCTGCTTTCAATTGAACTTTCTCTGAGATCTGCTATTCCTTCAACTAACTATACGAATTTACTGAACTTCAAAGCCAAGACCATATATGGCAGCTCAAGAGCCCTCGGATGGCCCAATGTCAACTCAATATTTAGACAGAGAGTCCAATCCAAATACCCAGCATCAGCATCCACATCATCAGAGCCCTTATCAACAAGAGCGCACATCATCGCGCAAGATCAAGGATCAACGGCGGCAGCTTGGATTGAGACCAGCCCATTTTACCAACAGCTCAGGAGCCCATTCACACCCCCAAAACGCGGCTCCCATTCTCACCATCGGTGCAGTACATCCCGGGGGAGTCGTAGAACGTCACCGTAACCGGTGAGCTGTCCCCCAGCCTGAGAGTGGAGCGCCGATCCGCGTGTTCCTCAGCAAGGGGGTCTTCCACCGTCTCGTTCCACCAAGCAAAGCGCCCCTTCTCCTCGTTGTAGATCGCGCCCGTCTCAGCGATCGCCTCCTCAATCGTGAATCGGCGCCCCTGCAGCTCGGAGGCGGAAACTAGAGCGGGGACGAAAAGGCAGAGAGCGACGAGCGCCGCGAGGCGCAGACCGATGGGCGCCATTCTGGACGCCTGGGAAGGTGAAGGAAGAATTTCAGCTGGGACGTAAAATGAACTGAGCAACGCAGCTGAGATTCGATCTTATAGGAGGGGAACCAGCTCCACCTTTGATGATGTGGGCCTCAGCTCTAGCTTGCTGACTGATGGCTGGTGACAACACATGGGAGTACATAGGTACCTACAACCTCTTTTCCTGAGTGTCGCCTTGTCAGTCTGAGGCTGGTAGAATTCAAAGATCTACACGACTAGCGCACCCGCCCTCAGGCTCAGAGGTCATCGCCTTGCCCCGCAAAAATTCCGCCGGTGGTTATGGCCGGGCGCTTTCCTTGTCCGCTTCTCACCAGGTTTTAGGCCCGGGGCGGGGGATTCCTAAGTACTGTTCAATATGCGCAGGCAGCTAGAGCCGCCTTCTTTGTTCCTGCCGTACCTATGTATTTCTGCCCTAAAACGTGTTCTACGTGTTACGTGAACGGTACAAATCACTTTCTACAAAGTTGGGCAATGGGAAGCCGAAACGAAAGTGTGTCCACATTCTGAGCACACCAAATCCAGAACTGGGGCGAACTGGAGTTATGGACAATGTCAGTAGATTTGGTACTTCCCCGGCCAGTAGGTACTGTCAGTACCTGGCTACCGTAGTAGCTGCTAGACCTTGCCGTGCGCCTGAATCATGATACCTACCTAGGTAGAGACTACGGCGAGAGTTTCAGTACCTATCTAGGAAGGTACAGTAGGTAGGTCGGTTGCGATTTTCAAACTTGAATTGATTGCAACGGCTGTGCAGTGTGGACGTTACATGTACCGACGAAAGTGCTGCACGTTGGTAAGTCGGCACGTACGTACTACGTGCGTTCCAAATCCCGCAGGGAGCTACCGTCTACGAATAAAGGCGGCCGGCAGTTAGTACCGGCGAATCTCGGAGCAGCAGACGTCAGCACCTATGACGTTACCTCAGATCGACTGTTAGCCCGTACCTACATGGAAACGGTGGGGCCACTGAGCACTCGGGTACTTGTTTCCGGGACGTGGCGCCAAAGCTAGATTCGTCACAATCACTCCGATCAGACTGGCCGGTACCGAAGCTCGGGGGATGGACACCGATGGGGTCAAGATGACGACAGAACGCTGGGTTTTAATTTGGAAAATGGAAGTTGCGTACGAAATCGGAAATTCCTTTTTTGCCTGAACGACAAGAATTCGGCCAATGCTTGTTTGCCACCTGTGTCAACAATGATGACTGGTTACAACCTCTCGAGTCTCGACAAATTACATTTGTCTCGAAGCTCTGTCAGGACCAGCTCAGGATCCCAGTTTCAGCGCCTTCTAGTCAGGAATCAGGAGTCAGGAGGCAGTACGGTGTACCTGAGTTAGACTACCGTATGTCAATGAGCTTGAAGCGCGTATGAACACTGTCATCGATCAAATACCTAGGTATGATACTCTTGCACAATGGATTGCCATGTCACATGTGCGCGACAAGCTTATCTACGAGAACTTCAGACCGTCGATCCGGGCCCAAGATCTCACGGCGGCTACTCTTTATACCCTACATGAACAATCTTGGCAGTCTAAGTTGAATAAACGGGCACTGAGAGTCTGGCAACAATCACTTGCAAACATATTTTCAGGGGCTACTACATGAGCCTGAGACAACAAAAAATCACAACGTTGCATTGGACTTGATGTCAATCACCATGCTGGGGAGTATCAAACACAAGGTCCGGTATGGACACGCCAAGCAGGTTTGTGTAACCTCTCCGATGAAGCCTATCACATAGCAACTATGGTCCTGGACTTATTCAACAACAATGGAACGGCAAATATGGCACTCATAACACAAAGTGCTCTCTGATTTACCCAGACAAGCTATGCAAGCATGTTTAAGCGCAGACCCACCACCCATATGTAACAATATCTACATTGACAGCTTCACTACCTCACCTCTAGCTAATGCCTTATCTTCTGGTACTTACAACCTGCTAGTGCTTCGACCGTGGGCTGTAAGTAGGTCATTTTCATAGGCGCACCCCCAGAGTTGTTGAAGCTATTGATACATCCCATATTCACACGCGGTAGTTGCTGTCGATTATCTGTGCTTTCTACTACACCCCTCGGACTCGAAATAGAACTGCTGCGAAAGATCTTGACGCGTTTGTACACATTGGCCTTGAGCTAAGGCCGAATTAGTCCTCCGCAATCTGTACAGTGTATGCAGATGCAGTACAGGGTACAACGAACAAGTCGCCAGCCCTCATGGCCCCCCACCCCTTCGAAAGCCGACTCAGCAGCCCGGAACCAGCAAGGTGTCATTCTCCTCAGTACCAACTCCCGCAAGAGTCAAAACTTCGTATTGCAGCCTTCCCCCCACCCCCCCGAAAAAGGAGCTCTGAAGACCGTCTCAGGACCCCTACTAGCACATTTTGCCCAAACTCACTTAACCCGCTCAGACCCCCCTCTCCCAGAAACCTTACACGTAACCCCGATGATCTTTGGGGCAGACGAGCGGCCGCAGGACTTCAGCGACTTCGACCTCGCCGAAGCCGAACGGAACCGGAATCCGGCACGTCTTTTCTGCCCGGCGCTTGGCCTCCTGCCGTCGGAGATGCTCGAAGTACAGGCGACCACCCACAAAGGCCGTCAGGATTGAACCTGGAGAGAAATCGGGCATCGGTTTACATGACCGAGCAACTTCGGCTCCTGGTGAGGCTTTGCCGACGAGTCATCAACGAGATTTGGAGAGCTGGAATTACAGTACTCCCCCTCGAAGGCCGTCAGAGTCGAAGCTGGGGAGACACATAATCAGAGGAAGAGCAGAAAGAAGCAAAACACAAAGCGAAACAGGGAAGAGCAGAGAGGAGCACACCGCAGATTCAATAGGGAGAGAGGAAGAGCGACGCACATCCAACCATCGCCACCATGTTCCACTTATATGGTCGCGACGAACTGCCCAAGATCTTTGTCCTACCTTCGTTGAACTCCAGCAAATTGAGTATCCAGGAAGCTAAAGAATTACGCCAGAAGTCATAACACAAGTGGAAAACGGGCAGAGGAACAACGAAAGAAAGGCGAGAAAACGGCAAACACGGCAGAAAACGAAGAAAAATGCAAATGTGCAGCACTCACATCCAACCATCGCCACGATGTGCCACTTGTTGAACCCCACCCCACGCTCCGACTCCCACTGCTCCTCTCTGCCCCCATAGTCTTCGCTCCTTTCCCCCGTGTTCACACCGTGTCCGGCCTTATTCATACCGCTCCGCGCCTGCTCCTCTGTGTCCTGAGCGGGGTAGAAATTGTCGCGGATGCGGGTGCCACGTGTCAGCTCCTGGTTGGTCTGGTCGTCCGCGTCCGAGAGGTCGGCATCGGAGGCTGCGTCGGAGTCGTTCTCCTCTTCCACGAGCTCGATGTCTGCAGAGAAATCAAATTGACATACTTTTCTAAAAAGGAAATTCATAGTCGCAACTCGTAAATCAGCCACAAATTCCTCCTGCTTAACAAACAAGACAGACTCCGAAGTGGCCACCAAAGTCGGTAAACAAGAAGAGGCGTACTGGAGAGCAAGAAAGGAACATAGGTACTGCAACGGTGCGCAATACACGGAACAGGGACTTTCCGACTTCTTTTCAGGGAGGGCCGCATACTGGCCCTCCGTATTAGGAAAGGTAATAACATCGTCGAGATGTGGATGGCATTATTCTACGATTAACACAGGCGAACGGCTGTGCTGAGACAGAAGGAACAAAAACGGCCGCTCCCAGGCTTAGAATCGAACGAAAGAGGAGCCGCGGACTGGCTGGGAGCACTGTAGGAACAAAAGTGCAAAACAACGTACTTGCTGAGGGTAGCAACCGCTGACCCAGCAGATGACATCAGGAACCAGAACATACCGAGTCTTCTTCCTCAGGCCAAGGGCTGTTTTGTCGGTGTACGGTGCATTTATAGTCTTTATTGGAACTTGACACTCGCTTCTCGAGTAGACGAGCCCGTCCTATCTTCTACAGATTCAGCAGCGCCCCAGAGATGCACTCAAGTTTGTTAAACTATGAAGACAGAAGAGCCTGAGACCCATTCCCATACCCCATTTCACGACTTGCAGTAAACCCTACCCAACAGAGGGCCAACAGAACATGAATACAACAATGGCGAGGCAATCGACTGGCTGACTCCGTTACAATCGCGGAGTCATCGAACTAAAGTTTGACGGACAGAACACATAGGGCTCTAGGCTTACCTTCCGTTTCATCTTCCACATCCGGCCCCTCCTCGGAGGTTTCCTTGCGCACCACGTGCTGCCACCTGTCGCCTGCCAGGCGCGGCTCCCTCGGTTCCGACACGGACGCATTCACACTAGACACGTCGCTGGACCCGTCGCCTTGGTGTGAAGCCGCGTCCTTCGCCTTGCCCTCGGACTGCGCTGACGTCAGCACCCCACTTGCACGCAGATTCGCGCCTGATACCTTCGTCTGCTGCCCCTCAGGGTGTGAATGTTCACTGCCCACTTGTTGAGATCCAACCTCACCCTTGTTAGCTCCCCCCGCTTTCTTAGCAGCCAAATGCACGTCGATCTTGTTTCCTACCCGTTTCGCCCCCTCCCCGACGCCTCTGGTGAAACTGCCACCCCGCTCCAAAACCCCCGAACCTTGAAGGCCCTGTAATGAACTCGAGTCCGAGGCCACAGAGTCGTTCTCCCCAGCCTCGGCGACCGCCCCCCTTTCCGACGAGGCCTTCTTGCGGCCCTTCCCCCGGTTTCTTCTCCTCCGCCTCTTCCCCTCAGCAGCTCCCCCCGCACTCTCCCCCTGGGCGTTACTGATTCCAGACCCCCCCAGAGCGGGACTTGCAGGGTTTTGGGCGGGGTTTTCGGAGTGGGGGGTGACCAGGCCCCTTTCGTGATACCCCTCCTCAGTCACTGTGCTGTAGTCCACCCAGCTTGGCGCATTGCTAACCTGACTCTCGATGCCGGCTCGCCCCCCTCTGATTGCAGAACCCCCAACGCATTCTCCCCCACCCCTAGTTTCTGACTCACGGCCGAAATTGCCAGCGCGTCCCTCGGCGTCTTCGTCTTCTTCTTCCATGTTCCATTCGACGTTCTCGACGACCGTTTCCGGTGGAGACTGATTCCACTGCTGGGGCTCGCTGCGGGTCTTGTGCAGGTAGTGGGCATTCACACTCTGCTCGCCCTCGTAGTTTTGCTGATGTGAACGCGGGGGCTCGAAGTAGGAGAAGGCGTCGGGGCTCGACTCGGGGCTGCGGAAGAGCCCACGCTGCGCAGGGCTACTGCGCAGTGCAGCCTGGAGAAATTCGATGAAGACTGGTTTCACGCTCGTCACAGGCACGTAATACAGAGTCAAAGGCTGACCTTAGTTTGTGAACGTCCCAAGACAGCGGCTTGTGGAAGTGATGCCAAACTGCAGAATTGTATAACCTGGAAAGGCTGGAACTTTTGCAGAGAAAGGAGAATCACAGGTCGCAGGAACCTACACACACAACGAAGCTCGAAAGAAGCATTTTAGTCCGATGTTCGATTATGTCAACTGGACGAATTGCTTCTGAGAAGCTGACGACTTCTATCAACAAACGCAGGTTTCAAGAAAAAACGTCGGTGACAAGGTTATCTATGAGCAGCTTTGTGCATAAAGCGGTTCTCGTACAGAGATCTTGCTATAGCTAGACAAACAGAGGCACGTAACATTTCCGGATGGTGGGCCTGGTCGAGCGCTCAACAAAAGTGCGAGTTCTTCCACCAGATGAAATGCGAAGCAAAGGGACGGACCTGCTGAGACCCAACCGACTTGGTTGGCGTCACGTTCAAAGGCGCCGATGTGGTGCGGGCAACAGAACGGCGTCCCGGCCCGGTTGGAGAGGTGGCCCGGGAAGATGTAGGGGAAGTAAGCGAGCGCGAGTCCTGCACGAGAGATCAAATTGAGGTGGTCATTAGGACTCCTTGTTGCACTGAGAAAAGCAGGCCTGCTGCTGTTGTACAATCAGTTAAGACGTACATGCAGGTCAGGAAATAACGTCCAGGAAAACTTCTCGTATGCTTCAAAAGATCTAGATACGCCCAGGGCATGTTTAAGTTTTGAAAGAGACAAGAGTTTCAACATAATCAAGAAGTCAGAGCAAATTACCTCTATGTGGCCGTGAAACGCAGTAGCCTGACAATGCATACCCTTCGTGACCAAAAGCTTTCCATAGGAGAAACTCCAAATAGCTGGCTCAATCGCTCTGTCCACCAAAGGCAGGCCCCTCGCTGCACGTTTCCCCCAGGTTCGCTCACCTTTCCACGCCCCTGAGGCGAAGATCGAAATACTCACAGACGCAAACCAAACGCGGTACTCCTTACGATCTTCAGCAATCTTGCTAAGAGGTAAGCCCACCTTCAGCTGTGGGGTCACTTGCGCCTCCTCCGTCTTCCGGAAAAGCTGCAGCCCGGGGCGCCGCCAGAAGCTCGTGAATGTCGTTCCCGAGGCCGTCTTCTCCAGCCGGGGCCTCATGGCCGTCTTCTCCATCTGGCACAGGTCTGGTGGGGGGCTGCTCTGCGTGCGCTGGTTAGCGGTCAACTGCGCATTGGGCTCCGACTGGTTAGCACTAACCTCCGGCTGACCCTCCTTCTTGGGGGAGCCCTCGACTCCTGACAGGAACGCCTGCTTCATCCGCTGCGAAAGCTTGTCCTCCGGCGAGTGTGAATGCCCCCCGTGACTCTCATCATGCCCCTGACCTGCAGCCTTCTCGCCCCCGTTCACACCACCACCGCCTTGCTCCTTTGGCGTCTGCGTTTCAATCGGTGTTAAAGACTCGCCCAGCTGCAACGGGTGGTTGTCATTGACACTCTCTCGATTCAGCCCGCCCTCCTCCAATAGCCCCTCGCCTTCAGCCTCCTGGACAAGCTCGCTGCCCACGAGGGAGAAGTGTCCACAAGCCCAGTCGCAGTCTGCGGCGTTCTCATGCCGGCTACATTGATTCAGACTGGCGTTGCCGAGAAGAGGCTCCATGTTCAGGCTCTGGGAAGCTCCCCGTGTGGCCTGGTTTTCAACCGACTCCTCAGTGCCTGAAAACAAAGAGGGGCTGCGTAAGAGTGCCGAACATCTTGCGGTCCACATCGAGTTTCTTTCTGATCCTGGCAGAACTGTCCAGAACTAGAGATATTTGTCGGACAAACCCTGATTTTTATCCTGCAACTTTGGATTTTGCGTCAGTTTGCAAATCACAAGAAGCGAAGAAAAAGCGCAAGGTTAGAAAGGCACAGCGGCCATCAGAAGCAGAAGTCGAACTGCTTCCATCAAAAGGCTATCCAGCAATACTTACGAAAGAGAGAAAAAGAGTACCAGGCTGCACCCTGTTGAGGGCGCTCTATTGAAGGCTTTTGCCAACAGGAGGTTCAGCACTACGGTGGAATACGGACATGTAACAAAACGACAGAGACACATACAAATTTCAATACACAATGCACCAATCGGGGAATCAAACGGGATCGGTCTTTTAAAAAAGTTTCTAAAGCACAGAGGAGCACTGAACAAGATGAGCCAGTCCAGTTGCACTTCTCTCAGCGCTTCCTTCACCATCATGATCAGCAGTATTTTCTGACAGCGAACGGACAGAAACAAAATTTGTGCGAAATAAAATCGACGCGATCTGAGGTGGGAGGAAATGCTTTTGTACCACCAAAGGTTTCTCAGACAACGGTTTCTTGGACGGGGAAGAGCAACAAGTGGACTGAAGCGCCAAACAGCTGAGGTGGTAGAGCAGAAAGCACAAGAGCCGAGATACATTGTCCAGTCTGAGAACCCTAACTTAGTAAGCTCACAAGGTGAGTAGCACCAGATCAATTGCTCCCTGAAAAGAAGGGCCTAAAATGAACTTTCGTGCAGCCAAAACCCAGATCTCACGACTTGCCACATGATCGCCATTCAACCGGGAACAGAGACCTCAGGGCAAGTACGGTTATGTCTCTCAAAACAGTGTTAAAATCTCCTCAGGCTGAACCACCGTTCATTTCAACATCACAGCACAGTAGCTTGATTCACTGCACTTTCCAATCCGTTTCTGCAAATTTGAGATCCCGAGCTCGTGCTTAGCCCTGTAATACAAGAGAGGCGGCCAAAAAACTGGTGCAAGAGTTGCAGTGAAGAGGTGGGGCAGCCGTTGTGGAACATCCAGAATTTGAGTTGCGCAATTCCCGTTCAGTTCATCAAGTTGGAAGTTAAACTCATGAGCCAGCAACTTGATTACCTGACACGCACTCAGACCAACAGTTGTTGTTCAAATGACTTAAATGAAAGAATCAACTAAGAATCCTCTGATTCTGAGGAAATAGGCTGTTGTCTGAACAAACACTCTTTGGTCATTTGAGGGAATTAAAGTGCATGCATTATGGAGAAACGAAGGCAACCACCTTAGAATAAAAATGTTGCCAATGTGAAAGTCCATGATTGTTAGCAAGCTTGCTCCCAATCCAACCGTCAACTTGTAGCAACAGAAACCATCTGCTTCTCAAGAGAAAAACAACAGGGAATGTCAGATCTTGTCAGTGGCCAATCGAATGTAATTGATCTCTAAAAAGGAGCTCCTGATCCACGCAGATGAGCTTCATCATAGACGCTGCAATGGAGGCCAATTGCTCGAGAAACAATCACCAATTGCCATGCTTCTGCTGATCACAAGACCAGCTCCTTGCCGGAACTTTCCAAAACAACCATGCGAGGAAGTCGCTTGCTATACCAATTTGATGCAGTGTCCACAATCTTTTGGGTTTGTGGAATTGCTCTGGGTTTGTGGAATTGCTCAAAAAAAATAAAATAAAAAAATGTGGATTTGGAAGAGCGATGCACATGCATGCACTACCACATGGTGTGAGCAGGGCACATGTAGTCTGCAAAAGGATTTCCACTGATGATCAATGTGTCCGAGCAGAAGTGCAAAGCAAACAAAGACAACTTCTCAGTGCCGGTACAGAATTTCACATCCAACCCTACCAGAGTATAGCTGCAAAACAAACAATCCCGGAAACAGAGACAAAAGGCAGCTAAAATCCTAACCTAGACACCTTTCTAAATTTGAATCAGTAGAATGCGTTCCAAAGAGCTCACCGGCATCCTTGACGGAGCTCATTTTGCTTCACCAAGCTGCGGCTTCCCTATCAGCCTTTGTCAAAGTAGACGACCACAGTTACGACCAGCAAGCAAGCAACTTGAAGTCTTAGCAAAGCAGCAAGCAGCAAGCTGGGAGAGGAAGCCCTTCCTCTTCGTTAGCTGGAAGGTTTGCAGCTCAGGAGCTTTTCAAACCGTGTGCTCTAAAAGCAAACCGCTGTCGCCCCTTTGCACAGTCACCTTTTTCCAAGAGTGGATCAAAAAGTGGCGCAAGATATTTATGGCGCGCGATTCGCAACCCGTCTCAATCATTGAGGTCAAGAGATCGAATCGAAACTAAAAGCATGAATTTCCCCCAGAAAGACTTCGACGCGCCGATGTTGGAAGAAAAGCGGTTGGTGAGTTGCTGACGTCAAGCTAAGTTCGTTCTGTCGCGGGGGTTTGAGGTTTTGACTTTACCGATGTCGGGACGCGCGCAGTGGTCGATTGATCGCGCAGGCGGCCGCCATGATCTATGACCGGCGCCTCGCTATAGCGTAGTAGGCTCAGCCTGCAAATTACTTGAAAGCTTGCATGTTAAATCGTTCGGTTGTGACTTTCCCCCGCGGGACTCCCCGACTTTCCGACGACAAAATCGGCGACGTACTGGACTAGCGCACCGTGGCACGGATCGATGTTATTGCATGTTGATTTCAGCCCAATCCGGCCTGGCACCACCATTTGCTCTTCTTTCCTCAAAAATGGATGATACTTATAAGTTATTACTCAGCCGCTCAGGCCGCCCGAGCGGTTGGGGCATGCAGCAACAAATTCAGACCGTAAGCTTACAATTGACAAATGGACGTCTGCACAGTGATCGCGGCAGTTTTGATTTGATTGTAGTGCAGCCTGCCAAAAAGGCAGCCTCGAGTACATAGCCCTGAGTCATTGGACCTCGGTGTTGATCGAATACATGTTGGATCTGCCATTGCGGAATTGCCCCGCGTCAAGGATCCGATCGACATTCCCATTAGTGCTCGTCTCCACAGATTGGACTTCCACAATGATATGCATGAAGCAGCATGATGCATGTCAGCATGATGATTTGATTCCTCTTAAGTGGGCGGCTGGCACTCAGCACCACGAACGGACAAGGGATCCAAACGGATACGTCCCTAACACGGTTCTGGCGCTTGAGAGCGTGGAGAAACGAAACAGGGCCTTCAAATTTGCGGCCGTCACTAGCGGTATACATCGTTGATTGATCGGGGCGGCCGTCTTGACCGCCCAGGTATGTCAAGGCTGGAAAATGTGTCGAGCTTCAAAATCGCGGCCACGGTCTTCATTCCGGACGCTTTGAGTTCAGTACAACATACGGAAAATCAGAGCGGTGCTTTCCATCCAGTTTACGGGTGGTAAAGGAACACTTTTGCGAGCCACAGCGTGATTAAGTCAATAATCAACAATCAACACCCATTTGCCATTGAATTCTGTAACCTCAACTATCATAGGAGTCCACAGTCAGCCATTGTGACTGAAATTCGTGGCTTCCCATCCGGCGACGCAGCCTCAAGCTCTGCACAAGCAATTTTGTGACACGAATGAACCGGCAATGCCTTTAGTAGCAACCTTGAATAGAAGACCACCGACTGACGTTCAGAAACTGATGAACGCTTCGATCGAAACGCTTCGATCGAAAAAGGATCCCGGAGCTCGAAGGATCCAACAGTGGTCAGAAGCTTAGGTAAGAGGGCAGTCTGACGAGGGCCTCGGAACCCACAATTCCACGAATGGGCCCTGTCAAGACGTTCAAGACTAGCTGCGGCTCTGCGTCCTCGAGAAGCCGTTGTCGGAAAGTGCGATGCATCAAAGGGCAACCGGAAGATGCTGAGCGGAGCATTTGTTTCTCCGAAGTGTTGAAATGTCTGCTTCGACGGTGAGACGGTACAACGTACGACGCTGCAACTTACCTATTCGACTCAAGACGTCTAAGCCTTCGACCACCCTTCCGAAGACCACGTGTTTACCTGAAAAATGCACAGCGCGTCAAAAAGCTCAAGCTCTGAACAAGCAAAGAAACAACGTCGGTGCGCACACAACTCACGAGGACGGAAGCCTTTCGCTGGCTCGCCAAGATAGATTACGGTCGCCCTAAGCATGTTCACATACGAGGGCCGAGGCTGTATATTTTGACTGCTGTTCTGCCAACGGGGACGACTATCTTCCAGAAACCAAAACCCTCGTACATGGTTCGAATCATTAGTATCCTTGTAAAAATTCATATTCATCCTCGTAAAAGATTCCCTTGCGAATCTTCAAGTTCTGCTCATCCTCAGAAAGCTTCCTCTGTACATGCTTCAACGCTCCATTCATCACCGTCTCTTGCACAGTTGCGAAGCTAGCCTAAGCAGTTTCCCACGAAGATTGCTCAAGTCTTTTCATGTCAAACTCGCTTATTCAAACCCCTGGCTCGCGACCACGTAGTATGGACGGCTTGAGAAAGATAACCACTTCATTTGGAGGCGATCGGAAACATCCTCGAACTCTATACGACGTTGCCAGAGACTGAAGGACTTGTCCTCAAAAGCAAGCAACGGGTGCTCTTCGTTCTACGCAGTACGAATCTTTGCGCGCCTTAGAACTACGCATGACCTCAACGACGTGACACAGCAGGGCCCGCCTTTACGAAACCGGCAGTCACAGGACCTCAAACCACCCGACGAATCCTCAGTCAGTGCCTCAAATTCCCCAACGAATCTTCGATACAGAGTCAGTTCTACATCGCGCTACAACGCCGGCCTGAGCATCCAATCAAAACCTCCGTCCAAAAATCTTGTCCAACGACAACCTTGTTCGTCACCCCTAATTTTCTGAACCTCCAGGATCTCTCAAAGCAGCAGGCGCTGTTTTTAACCGTGCAAGCGCGGAGTTGACTTCCGGTCTTACTAGAAACACATTTTTCATTTCTGTATGTGTAGTCGCGCATTTTAGTTCCTCAAGACCGTAAATGCTTATCCTTGAGGGCCAAATCCGAAGAGCCAATCTCACCATCTAGTTGCGGGGCTGCTTTCAGGGTAATGTAAAACTGGCAGCTGTTGCTGTTCTTTCCTGAGTTGGCCATCCCAACCACGCCCGGCCCGTCGTGCTTCAGCTTCAGGCCGGGCTTCTCGTCGTTGAACTTGCCCCCGTATATACTCTCGCCCCCGCTCCCGTCGCCTGGCGAAGGCAGAAGATGCTGTTCATGAACTATAGTTCAATGAAGTCTTTCAGCGTCAAATTTGGCCCCGAACATGCTCCGTCCCTTGGCGCGGGCAGGAAATGTGAAATTTTGATTCATGAAGCATCGAGATTTCTCATTTGTGAACTTCTAGCGAACTTCTTAGACTTGCCCCCGTATATGCTCTCGCCCCCGCTTTCGTCGGCTGGCACAGACAGAGGTATGCTCCTCTTCGAAGCGTCTACCTATGATACGATTCCTGTCAAATCATTGATATTCGCCCAACATCTGTTTTTGATCCAAGGGCAAAAGAAAAGTTAGAAAAGCGAGCCCGGTGCCGTTGCTGGGTGCAAACAGTAAGTGTTTATTTCGAAGACCTTTCCGTTCTTAAACATTCAGTTCCTTCTTCCGCCGGAGAGCCTGCCTGGTAGACTGCTTTAGTTCCCGCTGTGATTGCCGAATGCGAAGAAGTAGGGGTCTTATTTCAGAAGTCTCCAGTCATTTATCGTGAAGGATTGTCCAGTGATTCTCTCTCTTAAATGGTCTCGCCGTCGCTTACCCCGCCTGATGACACAAATCTACAAGCTTGAACAAAACAATCCATCCTTCATGATTGATCTGGCAAATAAAAGGTTCGGAACTTGTCACTTACACGTCCTACATGACAGCGCAAGTCGAGCAAACCAGGGTCCAAAGTCCCGAATCAACCAATTTTTAACCTCGGAATTCACAGGATATTCTTCGACTTCAAGATGCACTACTTGTGCGTGACCCGTCCGGTTTGTAGGTCCTAGCACAAATCGACTTCGACGCAAGACGGACTTTTCTTTTCTCTTCGCTTTGCTGTCGTCAATGTTTCTTCGACGGGCTTCCAATAGCACGAGCTGTTACTTCGCTACCAAGTAGGAGAAGCTACTTCAACACCTGAATCAGGAGCGAAGCAGCCTCTGATTGTTGGCATGACAAACAGCAGCGGAAAGCACAAGAGACTAGGAAGACGCAGTCGCTTGCAATGGCCTTTCTATGAACGGAAAGCATCCGTAAGTAGGAAAGACGAAGCTTTTCCGGTGTGATCGGATCACTTTGCATTACTTCGGAAATACTGGACAATGGCCACTACCATGAACGAGCAAATCAAAGACTTCCAATTGTAGGCTCCGGGTGAGGAGCTCAAGTACATTTGAAAGAGGGAACTTGTCAGTCTCACCCCTCACGAAGTCGCCCCCTTGGCAGACAAATCCGCTGACGATCCTGTGAAAGGGCACCCCCCGATACGCCAACTGCTTCCCGCTCGCTTTGCTCTTGCCTTTCTCTCCAGTCACTAGACACCGGAAGTTTGCGACCGTTTTTGGAACCTGGTGCCAGAAGAAGGAAATGAGTGACGTTGGAGTACGGGGAAAAAGTCCTTCAGGCGCGCGCGCTTCAGTCGGGCATGGCTATCAAGTCACTCGTTTATGACAAGCTAATTTGGGCCAAAGACGCTTTTCTGCTCGACTTGAGGGCCTCAGAATTGAGTGAATCACTGGCGGGCTGCCTACGTGGGGGCTCTTTGGATGTTTCCTTTTGAGGGGGCTGGTCAGCTGCGCAGCCCGAAACGTCTTCAAGACCGTGTGCATCTCCACCCGCTTCCTAAAGCGCTATCAAACAAGAATGTGTCTTGCATCTTGACAAGATCAAGAGGCATAGATTAGAAGGAAGAGGGGGAACGTGGCGTCACCTGATCTGGGTACGTTTCAATGACCAGACGCCCTGCTCTCAGTGGCCTAGGTTTTGCAAACCTCAATTTCCCACCCTTGCCCTGGGCACCTTCGTAAGCCTCCTCAAGTAAAGTGCGACCTGTAAATAGGACAATCCAGTCGTTAGTGTTTCCGTATCACATGAACATTGGCTGACAGGGCGAAAAGTGCAGTAAAGAAAGACCAGGGTCTAATAATGTCCTCTGTAAGAAGTGGTGAGGCGGGTGCAGATCAGGTTCCCAAGCATGAAATCAGGCTGTTCTGGTGAACATGAACGTTCTGAGTGGAGTGCATAAAGCGTTCTGGCCCTGCACGTTGACTACCTACACTTTCATCATCTGAATAATCCTTGCCAAATCATTGGCACTGGAGATTGAACGCCCATGATGACTAACGGAGGACGCCTATTGTTTCAAGCTGAGAAGTTCTGAGCGTGGAGGTTCATTCTTCAATGTCCATTTATTGCTTCATAGCATCATGGCTTTGAAAGAGTGTCCCGCTCGATGTGCCCTCTTATGGTTAAATCGCTTCAGCTGAACTTGCTGCCTTCTTAGCAGACTTAGGTGGACAATTGATACTGTTAGCTCGACGGAGTCGTTCATTGCGCTGCTAAGAGACGTTGAGAGGTTCAGAAGTTGCACACAATCCACATATGCTGCGCGAGTTGACAGCTGTTTTTTGGTGGTGAAGGACTTTGTTCAATAGCATACAGCCGCATGCTAGGGCACTTTTCAAGGTCGCTCATGAGCTTTAATGCAGGGAATGAATACATTAAGCTTGTAATCCAGCTTCCAAAAGAAATGAACAATCAGTTCAGATTCTGAATGGATCGGTCACCTTCCTTGTCCAGCTCGTCAGGAGTTGCAGCATCCAAGCCAAGCTGCTTGTGCCCCACGTCTTTTAGGTACTGGCATGTTTGATTGTACGCCTCCGTTTCCTCCTTACTCTTGGCAGGGTCACCAACATCGATGTCCAGAAACACTCGAACCATCCTCAATCCCTTTGAAAGATGGCCCACCACTAGGGCACCCCTTCAGCAGGCTCCTTAGAAGTTAGATCCAGAAAGGTTCAGGTCAGCGTTCTACGTACTAAGATAGCGCCACGCTAGGCTAAGCACCAGCACTAGTGCCCTGCTTTGAACTTGAAGCTGGTCAGGTGATGCAAAATGCAGAAAGCAAAATGCAGAACTTTGCGAGAAATCAGGCACAGCCCCGACGGACTTGGACCGTCTCTTGACGTTCTGGCTCTCTATGCAATTTGCAGCGGTCTTCAAGGGGAAGGGTCCGTACGATGGTCGCCGTCATTACAAAGCAAAGACGTCTTCGATCATGTGCAAGGTCCCCGCTCGTCTGCCGGTTCCTCTGTAGGATAGGGCCAAAACCATAATTAAAAGAAGAACTTTGACGCTCAACTTCTGCTACGCAAAGCACCAGGTCTTGCTAGCTAGCTCGCAGATTCACTAGGTACCTATCCAACCATTCATCTACGGCGCATGTCAGCCTTCAGTGGAAGGGAGCTGGAAGGAGCAGAACAAGGTTTGCAAAATGCGAAAGAGCTGAAGAAGAGGTCAAAGATAAGGTAGCTGCTCTTGCTTCACTAGGGCTTCACTCTTGCATTGCTTTGGCGGCAGCTATGGTTGCCAGCCTGCGCTGGCAAATCTTATGCATGTACCGGCAGATGGAGAACACCTCAGACCTGGTTGAAGCATTGCGGAAGCTTGGGGGGGGGAGCATCTCTCGCAGAGTGCAGCAATATCTGCTGGAAAAGGTGGTGCAAGATGAGGTGAGCAGTCTGGCCCGTTTCTCTTCTGATATGTAGGAAAAAGTGGATCAGCATAAATTGTTCAGGACGAATGAGTGAACAAGGGGTCATGGTGTGAGAGTTTGGTCTTAAACCAGCATCCAGATGCATCTCATCATGCTAATCTGCTGAAGGGTTGGGTCGCCTGCTTTATGTCAGCACATCGGTGTAAAAGACTTGTGCAATCATGCACTGTGAGTTGCCTCATAGGTTTGCAATAAGGGCTGCTGAACTGCGTCATATCCCTTGGGCACCTTGGCTTCAGCAGAGGGACACTGCCACAGCAAAGGGCTTTTCGCATCACAAGCACATCCTTAATCCAGTAAGATGTAAGATGCCAAGAACTAGACTGCAGCGTTCTCCAATACCAACACTTCTAAGGCGAGAGTCAAAATCATGGTGTATGGTATGGCGCGCCATGTATAGCTGAAGTGCCGTGATACACAACGCGTACATGCAACCTGTTCCTCCTGCTCAAGGTTGGTTGATGGAACCCCGGATCTTGACCATAAGAAGCCAAAGTCTAGCTGCCCCACCGCTTTTCTAAGAAGCTGCAAGTGAATTTGCAGACGTGGAAACTCAGTCAACGTTCGCATTGTTGTGTCCAGGTTGTCAAGAGGTGTCCTCCTGAAGTAACATACACCGCACGCCTCCTGAAGCTGGTAATCTTGGGGGCAGAATCTGATGCGCTAAGGAGGCGTGGAGCGGACAGCGATGATGAAGAGGAGCCAGTGCTTGAGGAGACATATGCAGAGCATGCAAAGTACATGGAGGCTGTGTCCCGACTGGTGAGGACGAGGTGATCGATTTTGGCGAAGCTTGAACTCTCCATGGTGTATTTTCTTATCTTGTATTGTTAATTTCCTCAGCGGCGATGATGTGTTTTGGAAAGCCTCTGTCTCAGGTCTCAACGTGTGTGCCGTCGGTCTCCAGTAGCTGTACTTGCAAAATTAGAAATCATAGAGGTGCCTGTATTCGGGATGCACCTTGCCAAGCCGTTGATAAGGAAAAGTTTGTCATATTATCGTATCAAAGACGCCTGAAAAGCGGATTCGTACCAGGATATGACAGGAGGATCATGAATCAAATGCTGCACTAAAAGCCTTGGACAGGACAGGGTGTGTCTCTATTGCTTAGTCTTTCAGACTTCCCAAGCAAAAGACGTGAACAGGAGAATGTTTTCGCCTCAGGTTCAGGATGTTTAACGGACGTGTTGGTAGATCCAAGAGACTGGTAATTTGTCGACAAATTGACCGGTCATCTGTGGCCCTGTTTTATATTCATACTGCCCTCGTGAGAACCCTTCATCACGAGTACACGAGGTTTTTTTCTCGTAAGATTTCCCGTCAACTTGGTGTCCAAGCATGAAAAAATCTCGGAGATGCAGCCTTGTAAGAAAGCGAGGACCTTTGTCCACATTACTTACAGATGATTTGCGGTACCTGCAGGAGCATGACGACTCTCTGGATGCGAAGTGGTGCTACCGGACTTATGCGTACGCGACTCCCACTGCAAATCTTGAAGGTCTATTGCATCAACCAAGATTTTCAAACGGGTCAACAATAGCTGAGCGCGCCAGAGCTTCCGATGGTACCCAGGAAGTTGCCGAGCAAGCAAGGGTCGCTTCGTCTGTTTCCCGAGCAGCCTCCAAGAAAACGTCACCTTCGATGGACCCCTCAACATTAGAAGCAGATGACGGAACCCTCTCCGGAGAATCGACAAACCCAGCGTTAACCCAACTTGTTACGGTCCGGGTTTCTCTTAACCTCTTTGAGGGCGGCACGGGCTGCACCACATGGTCTGCTGGCTTCTACCTGGCTGAGTTTGCGCTAACCCATCCCGAAACCTTCGCCGGAAAACGAGTCCTTGAGCTGGGAGCCGGGGCCGGGGTTCTCGGCGTGGTAATTTCCAGGTTACCGGGGGTTAGCGACCTTGTTCTCACTGACGGGAACGAGGAGACGTTAGAGAATCTACGGGGAAACCTCAGCCTAAACGAAGTGGAAACGAGTACAGAAAAATCGGACGTGGTGAGAAGCTCGAAACGGCCAGATACCAGCGGACACTTATATTCCATACCGCCGTCCGATTCCAGGGGCCATCCACATGCGAGCGGCAGTCCGAAACCCCCGGAATCTCCGGGGTCGAGCGCGCATCCGGATCCCGTTGGATCTCTCGAGTCCCCCACAAGTTCTGGCTGCACTGGGTCTTCAGGATCCCGCGGGCGTCCGCTTTCTGCTGAGCGTACGGATGGCAACAGTGCGGACGCACAGGGGGTTCTGAGAATTTGGAGCGAGTTCCTGGATTGGGAAGACGTGTCGGAGCTGCAATTGCGGGAGTATAACGCTGACGTGATGTAAGTTTGGCTGCTATTCCTTTGCAACAATCGTCTATGTTTCATTCAGACAACGTTTCCAATGGTTGCCCTTTGAGAATGATTGCCCGTTACAGTGGTGAAGTTATCGCCTCGAGGATCTGGTGGTCAACGAGAGTCGCGGTATCTCCTGAATGATTCACAGAAGCGGATGTGTTCAACACATGCGCCGTTGGCGGCTTCAACGACTCGTTGTACTCTCATCCATTGCTAACATCAGGATACAGATGCTTGCGGAAGGAGACTCGTACGGGGCTCAACAGTCTCTCGCCTTCTCCGGGCAAAAGCTTCGATGCGTTACCAAACTGTGTCCCAAGCTCTTCCTTGGATGCATCTCGACAGGAGGTGTTTGCAGAGCGCTTTGTTGAGGAGGCGGCTCCCTTTTGGAGCTGAGGCTGGGAGGACATTCCCAATAATCTAATGCAGGTCTGTATGATCAGCGACCATTCAAGAGTTGACTCGATCAGTAGAACATCTCAGGACATGACTGGGGTGGCAATTAGTTGAGCCATTCGGCAAGGTCTGCCAAACTGAATCGCTGGGCTTGTTGGTTTGACCATATAGCCAGTTTCGTCTCCTCACTTTATCATTTACGAACTTTCTGACCGACCCCCGCACTGTTGGGTCATCGTCTGCAGATTGGGAGCAGACGTCTTGTACGATCCAGGGGTCATACCGGACCTGGTCCGGATTCTGCTTGTCACGCTAGTGGCGCGTGGCAGCAGCTTAGGAGCTACCTTACCAACCTCTACGGTCGTAAATGATGTTCCAGAGTCTGCAAGCGACAGGAGCGGGAAGGTTGCATATATTGCAACTGCAATCAGGAATGTAAGCACGCTGGAAAGATTTGTTCTGGCAGTCAAAGCAGCGGGTTTATCGATTGAACTGGTTGCTCAACAGGAGGAAGACTGCTTTCAGTATTGCCGCTGGATGAAGCGAGAACAGATTCGTCTCCATCGGATCACCTGCGAAAACTGAGACGTGGTTATCGAACTGAACGCGCGGCGTTTTGATGCGATCAGGGATCCTGTCGAAGTCTTAATTGGGTCAATCATTTCTCATGTTCAATTATGTTCTCAGCCCGAGTGGATCAACCGGACAATCAACGATGAGTGCGGCTATCATAAAGTTGACAGTTCAGTTAAGCCTGCAGCTACAATTTCTTTCTGTCTTTGCTACCCTTCTATCATGGCACTGCCTTGTTACCACACCATGGCATCTGACTGCCGTGACGGTGTGCACGATTTTCTTCGATCGCAACGGAGGGGCGGCCTGGCACTCCCCTGGAAAGGTGGAATAGGCGCGTCTGCTCATCCACTTTCGGAACCCTATGCTAAAATCGCGCCAGCCTTTTCGGGCACCCTTATCTGGAACGGCGTGGGCCATTCTTCGACCCCTCTTCGTGAAAGGGAGAAGGCGCAGTTTGGCAAGACTCCCCCCTGGAAATACTGAAAACCGTAAAGCCATTTCTAGTTATTATGCACGTTTCCCATGTATAATTGTCGGACAAGCTTGAAATGTGGGACAGTACTTATCAAAGTGTAAGGACCCCGGGAGGCCCGCCTCCGTTGGCCCAATGGTACTATATGACGGTGCCTCCCCGCCTCCGTTGGCCCGATGGTATGACGGTGACCCATAATTTTCTAGTATCTTAAGTATGACCGGGCCGCTTTTTCTGACCCCCTTCACCTATATAACCGCCGTCACTTAACTTAAGTAGCTCGGCCCAAGTTCCATGACCTTCAATCGGATCGACGCGGCTCCCTTCCAACTATAGGTACGCTATGTTTTGCCAAGTTTTGGGGCCGAAACTTCAGCTTCCCGGAAGAGTGGCCGCCCCTAGTCCGGCATCACAACCTGAGCTTTATAATTCAATACGCACATGCGCGGCCATTGAATCTGCACTGCGATTGTCCATATATGTTGCATGAAGTGAACTGCATGGAAGGTACAGAGTCATGCATGCTCATTATACCGTACTGCTTTGGAAGCAGCTGCACATAGCGAAGTACACGTCCAGTTCATGTGAACGACGATCACGCAGTAGCGCGCGGGCGAGCTTTGGAAGCGACGGGGGCGCGACGCCGGCCGCTTTAGCGGGCCCGCGCCCGCTGGGGGTTTTGAGGGTTTCGAGCAAACGAGCGGCGATAGAAATTGGTGCTGATCGATCTTCGACGATATTCAGAACGGTTGGCAAGCATCGGTCTCGAACCACCTTAGCGTCGTTCCGGCGCCGTTGGATGTGCACTTCTCAAATTCGACACCGAAACGTGCTGGTGACTGTATCGAAACTGCGAAGCTGGCAAGCAATTGAACAAGGAGGAACTTGAACCACCTTTCAGAATGCTTGAATGCAATGCAGCTAACTAGTCCTACCGTCTACGGTACTGTAGGTCCTAGGCAGGTCCTAGGTCTTCTTGTGCAACATCAAGGAAGCGAACAGGATTCCACGTGGTGGCGTCCTCTTTCTAGCTGTGCAGCCTGTGCACTTTCCGATGCTGCAGCTTCCGGTACATTTCAGCCAAGGTCGCCCACGATGAGATAGCGGTCTACACAATCGAACCTCAAGCACTTAAGATCTGAATTTCGTTCAAGCTTTCACTGATAGAGGCCTTGGATGCACATCAGCTGAAGCCTGCAAAGATGCCAATCACTCCAGCCTATACGTGGAAGGAAACGGAGGATGAGGTCACTGTTGAAGTGGCCTTGCGTAACACCACCCGCAGCCAGGTCGCTATTGCATCCACCGAGTGCTTTTTGAAGGTCAACAGCTCCCCGTATCTGCTGCAGGTGGGCCTCTTAAGCCTCCCTTCAAAAAATGAAAGCAATTTAATGGCTGTCCTCAACTTAGTGCAGCTGAATATCAAAGCAAGCTCCTTGACTTGAGCGCTTTAGCGTGTACGTTGAGCAAAACTGAAGAAACTGTTTTGATTTTGCTGACAGTTCAAGATCTCTACTTCAGTGTTAGGGTTAGGGTTGAATTGAGGTGCTGTGCTTTCGTCCAGCTGGTGTGGTTTTCAGGTCAGTGTTCTACCTTGAATATCAGGGGGTATTATTCAGATTCTGGCTTTGTTCCTGGACTTGTTTTGGCTTTGTGATAAAGTGTTCTGAGCTTGCTTACGGCCGCATGCTCAACGTGTATTGAGCTCATAGTATATTCCCACATGGGGCAGTGGTTCTGCATATTAGAGCTGGGGGTCCATGTTGTCAGTGCCTCCTGCCTCCAGCAGCTAAGCTCCACCTTCCTTAACATATTCTGCAATAAACTTTCATGACCACTGCAGCTGGCATGAAAGCCAACTAGATTTCACTTTATTCTCAAATGTCAGCTTATCTACTCCATGGCTTGACGCACCTGTCGCCGGGGAGCTCTCAAGATTCGAGCAACATAGAAGAAGACACACAACTTGCTACTGCAAGCAGATGGGCTTGGGAGCATGTTCTTGAATCGCTATTTGTGAGTCTTAAAGTTGATACATGAAAGCTTTTGCTTCAACTATTGCCAGCATGTAACATTCTACTTTCACATGCCCACTCTTAGCTTTTTTGACCCTATCAGTCATCGAAAACAACACTCTCTGCAGATTGACCTGTATGGCGAGGCCGATGCCAAGCGGAGCACTGCGGAGGTGAATCAGTCGGGAGTGGTTTTCACTCTCCACAAGGCAGCAAACGGCCTCTGGGGCCGTCTGACTGCAGTGGGAGAGAAGCAGGAGCTTCTTGAGCGGCGACAGAAATCACTGGAATCATCCCGGGAGGCGGCGGGGAAGCAGAAAGAAGATGCAAGGCTGCTCAAGGTGAGAGACGCTGCTCTTTCTTTGTTGGTCTGAAACTGGGAAGCCTGGTTTAAAGAACTTGGCGGCGGTGTGATAACCAAAAGAGCTGGAGCTTGCTAGTGATGAATGAGAAAGGCTGCAATCAGAACACGGTCGTTAAAAATGAATTACTCAGGGGCGCAGAGAAGGCGCAGAACAGGAGGTATATCGCCCCTCCAGGGAATTTTCAGTGCACATGCCCTCCGCCCAGGGGCGCTGGAGCGGCCCAAGCCAGAATCATAAGGCACCATAAGATGACGGGTCGCTTGCGCCCGTGCGTCTCAGGGAAGGCGGCATGTGCCCTGGGGTTCCGTCTACACTTTAATATAATACAATACTATCAATACTCCCCTGCATATTTCGATTTGGGGGATCTGAGCAGGGCCCACCAAACTCTGAATCCGCATGGCAGAAAGCATCCCAGGAACCTAGATGCTCGTTCTGATTCGCACAGAGAGCTGATCGGTTGTATACGGTTCACGAGTGTACGGTCGACGCTTCAAGTCGTTGACCTCTTAAGGGATTCCTTGTGAGCAATGAAACCCAAATGAAAATACTGTTAGCCAGCCAGAAGGGCCACTTCTGGCAGATTAACATTTGCCTCAGAAGGGGACAGCGGGTACTGGTTCTTACCCTTTTCCTGCAACGCTTCTTTTGCAGGAGCGGACCAACAAGCTCGCACTGGAAAAGCAGTGGGCGTTGGAAGAGGCGAAACGGCAGACTTTGGAAAAGAGAAAGGCAGAGGAGCTGAAGAGCGCACAGGAGGACCTGCTTCAGTGGCAGACGAACACTACAAAAACCGGCTCAGAGTCGGAAAACACGCTCAACGGCCAGAGGTTGTCTGGCCAGGACAGAGATGGGGTTCGATCGGACGGTAGAATGGAACCTGTGTTGGACGATATGGATGCGGACGCTTTGTCAGACGGGGAGGATCGGTACATCCCCGCAAACAAGGGGAGGGCTGCAATTGAGGAGCTAAGCGAATCAGACGAAGAAGAAGTCAGAGGGCTCGTAAACCGGGCCAGTGAAGAAAGGAAATCTAAACTGCCGCCGATAGAGGCTTCTGAGAAGCTGGCGATTCCAATCCTGCTTAACAAGGCCGCTAACCAAGACTTCAGCAAGGACGGGCCGATCCCGACCGTGGTTAAGCAGGCCGCTAACCCAGGGTTCGGCAACCTGCTATCTGAAAGCGAGGAGGCAAACGACGAGAGCCCGTTGGTCGCTAGAAGCTCCCGACGGTTGCAGCCGCCCACGTCCGGAAAAGAAGCTCCCATCCAAGAGCCGGACATCCAAGAAGGTGGCTCCGAAGGGGACAAAGAAAACCAACAGCAGCTAGAAACGTCGAAACCGGCGGCTTCCGATAGGGACAGAAGTCAAAAGAGGGGGAAGGTTGCTGAGGCCGTCCCTGCTGCGGCGCTCCCCCCTCCGAGGAGGAGAATGGTGGTTCCGGTGCAATTTACGGCAAAGGAGCTGCGGCCAAATGTGCCGGCGAGAGAAAGTCGGCTCCAGGAGATTGAGTTGAAGAAGGTGAGAGGTTTCGCTTTACTTTAATGTTTAATGCTTCTTTCGCTCACCGAACCGCTGAAAGCTGAACGGGTGTCAAACGTGTTCGTAAGAAGGCTCAGTTCGCCAGGCAAGAAGAAAGCCTAGGCTGGGTTCGTGTTGTTGCTGGGCTTTGTGCTCTCTTAAACAACTCTGGCAGCTACAGGAAGTCGTGGCAGCCAGCTTCAAAGGATGTGAAAGATGGTCAATGACCATCGTTTTCTAGTGAAAGTAGCGACTGGTCAGATGTTCGGAACAAAACGTGTACGAGGGCAACTCCCTTAAGCCATTCGGAAAGACATTTTCGATTGCCTTGGAAAAGCGACTGAAACTGCTATTTCAAGTGGAGGGAGACATCGCTGCTTGGCAAGGTCCCCCGCTCTGCAGATTCCCTGGGCCCAGCTGTCCGTTTGCTTTAGACTACTTTTTTGGGGACATTTTTCTTCCAAGTTATTCCACTGACTCAGATTTAGCTGGGGTCCAGCCAAACTCCGATTTTTTAATAAGCGCACCAATCATAACTTTCTTACCAGCAAAAACGTACTAAGTTTCGTCGTCAGAAGTCCGCTGATCAAATCAAAGCGATTGCATTGGTTTTGCAGAACGTACGGAAGAGGCGCTCCCGCTCTTGTCGGTCGATGCGAACCCGAAGACCTCAAATTCTAAACCACCGTACTGCTATTCGACTTCGGCCAAAAACAAAGTACGTAAACATCTGCTCTGCCGGAATCCGCATATCTTCGAGCGATGATGGTCGATAACAGTATAATTCAGCAGGTAATTCTAGGTCTGCCGAAAGGAAAGAAAGTTTCACAATCGACTTTTCGGGGTCGAAGGTGCCGAGATCAAACAACATTACGGTATCTCGCAGGCGCAAGCCGCAGCCGCGGACGACGACGCGATGGACATCTCGGAGCGGCAGCCCGCATTCCTCAAGGACAAAGGGGACGCGCTCTACAGGGCGGGCGACTTCCAAGGTTGGCTTCCGCTTGTGTTTGGTCTAGTTTTCATAAAGTTGGTCTTTTAATCTTACTCTTTTGAGGTTCTGCTTACTAGTAATGTACAAAGTAGATCACGAACTTGAAATCGGTCACCTCACCAACCGAAAGGATGACCGAAGTTCCGGATCGGGCTTAGAAAACTCGTGCTCTTTGACAGGAGAACAAGGACGGGCAGATTAGTTGGAGGGCCTTGTTTCAAAAAGGGCCTGCTTGCTGAAAATGCTCTGGTGCTATGGTATTGGAGATAGTGGTCAACAGAACTCTGCAATCCAGCTCCTCCCTTCGTTTTGGAAGTCTTGCCTCAGCACTTTCACACGTGCGCATTCGTCCTTTAACTTGCTTCCGACGACGTCGTGACGTCACAATATTCTTAGGCAGGCGCCGCCTTCTGTGTTTGCAGAGATCTTGTGATCAAGCTCTTCGCGCATATCCAACCGGGGCGCCTGTACCGCACACTTTCCGTGCTACTTCATCACGTTGCTTAATTCCGTCTGGCGACACAAGCTTTCCCGCTCCAGGGGTAGATTGAGCATTGTCCTGGGCGCACGAGAAGGACCATGTCGTTTCCCTAACCGGGGCGCCTGCCTGCTGCGCTCACGAGCAATAAGTGCATCAAGCTGACGTCAGCTGACGTCGTGCCTGACGTCATTCGCTGCCCCTGCAGGGGCTAACTCCGCTTGCTCCTGGGCACTTGAAGAAGATCCTTACGCCGCGCTGTGCTTCTCCAACCGGGGCGCCTGCCAGCTGCGCTCACGAACAATCAGTACATCAAGCTGACCGTCAGCTGACGTCGCGCCTGCCGTCATTTCGATGTCCCTGCAGGGGCTGTTTCGGCTTGCTCCCGGGCACTTGAGAAAGACCCCTCCGCCGCGCTGTGCTTCTCCAACCGGGGCGCCACTCGCTGAATCTCATTTGCACATACGTAACTCGATTTTCCGTTCCGTCTGACGTCATCTTAGAACTCTGCAGGTGCCATTTTCGCCTACTTCCGGGCACTCGACAAACACCCCTCCGCCACGCTGTGCTTTTCCCGTTCGGTGCCGCAAATTGCAACCTTTTATGGCACCAACGTCATCAGTGTGCTTCGGCCCGTCTGACGTCATCCTAGTATCTCTGCAGGTGCTGTTTCGGCCTACTCCCGGGCACTCGAGAAGGACCCTTCCGCCTCGCTGTGCTTCTCCAACCGGGGCGCCTGCCAGCTGCGCCTCGGTCGCGTGGACGAATGCGTGTCCGATTGCACGAGAGCCGTCGATCTGCTGCGGCAGCAGCTGGAGGAGTGCGAGGACGAAACGGACGGCCAGGATGGAGCGGCGGGTGAATCGGACGGTCGAGATAAGATGAATGGCAAGATGGACGGTCAGGATCAGGCGGGTAGGAAGTCGGATGGTCCGGAAGCTCCCGGTTCTACGGGCTCAGAAGAAACAACTGAAAGGACGAATGCGTTGGGGAAGCTAGACGGGAAAGAGTCTGACGGAAGCGATTCGCAGGGAAGCGAAGTTGTGCTGACTGAGCAAAATGAGGAACGCGATCAGGAAGACGGTTTGGTAACTCGGGCTGTGAACGAAGACGGAGCTTCTACAAACAGTCCGGGTCCTAATCCATCAAAGGAGACTGCCTATCCTTCCTCCCGAATAGAAGAGAAGGGGTCCTTGGTTAGTACGGAGCTTCCGCCTGTATCAGAACAAGCGGATTCCGAAGGGAACGGACAGAACGGGGACGGAAAACCCGCAGGGCGCCCGAAGCGGCCAAGCGAAAAGAAGCGCCTTCGCACCGCGCTGGTCAAGGCGCTCGTCAGGCGGGCCGCGGCTCGGTGCGAAAAAGCCCTCCTCGCAGAAGCAATCTCAGACTACGAGAGCGCGCTTAGACTGGATCCTGGCAACCGGGGCATAGAGAGAGATTTGGAGGCGTTGAGAGACTGTGTAAATCCGCCGACGCAGTCGGAATGGAAGGCGCGAGGCGATGTCCGGTACCGGGAGGGAGAGATCGAAGGGGCGGCGGAGGCTTACACGCGGGCCGTCGATTGCGAGGTGAGACTTATAGCTCAACGGTTAGATGTGCCTCTTGAGTTGGACTCTATGGGATTGCTTACTGAAGGAGGCCGCGAAAATGGGAGGTGGAGGTGGAGGTGCTTTCGAAAGGTAGTAGACTATGATTCGGCTTAGTACAAGAACGTTACTTGCCCTGGGTTTTCAGTCCGCATTTATGCTGCTGGAGCTTTATGTTGCTCAGCGGGAGATCTGCTGAATCGCTGTGACAAGCCAGTTGAGGCTGCCAGGAGCCCCCCAATCCAACCGTCCCCTGAAGGTCGTGGTATCGTTATGCAGGCCTGAAACCCCGTCGGGTGCAAGGACTTTGTTACATATTTGAAACTGCGGACCCCAAAGCGTTAGGCTTTCCTTACCAGCGAGGCAGATGCGTTTGAATTCAAGGGTTCAGACAGGCACCCGGTTTTTACGTGCAGTTCAACTGAACGGATTTGCATCTACTCCACCTTTCGCTTCAAGGTTACCTTTTCAGATCAGATGTGTCTCTTCCCCACCATTCAGATCGTACTCACTGTGCCGAGTCGGAGATGAATGTCACTTCTCTTCGCTGCCGAATCATTACTGCTACGATAGGATTCGAAAGGGTGATGTCGACATTTTCCCGCCTTCAGGGTCAGGACGCGGCAGTAACTAGAGCGTGCGTTTCCAACCGGTCGGCGTGCTACCTCCAGCTCGAGCGGTTCGCCGAGGCGGAGGCGGACTGCTCGCGAGCGCTCGCGCTGCTGGGTTACTCGCCAGTGGCTGACGTCACGCCTCCAACTGACGGTGAGCTTGCCTTACGCACCAGTGTCTTTTCAATACCTTTCCCGTTGCATGCTCTAGAAGTGTTCTGGGTGTTGTCAAGTTCTTCTCGGGAGCTGGATTTGGGTCAGCATGAGTCGCCTACTCACGAGCGCGTCTGCTAGACTTCCGTTGGCAATTAATTTCCCTATTAGAGCACCGTGAATCGTGCTTCGTTTGCTCCTCAACAAAAATCTAGATGTCGGCCCGGCCTGAACGCATTGGGACCTTACCAACTGTCCTCACAAATACTGAAGTGGACTGCCGGCTTAATATAAATGCCTACTGAAGAATTGCTCCCGTGTTGGATCTGCTGCTTGCCTGCGGTTCTGATACTCTTTCAGAACGGTGGACGCTCAGTCCGCACTTGAAGCGTCAAAACATTCGAAGCTCGCCAGTTGAAGTATGCCGTCAATGTTTTCCCTCAAAATTTGCTCACTTTTCTCAGCCCGCACCAAATGCGCTCGTTGACCGTGCACACCTTTACTCGCAGTACCGACCGCAAATGTCGCTGACAGCCAAGCGTGCCTCAAGCTGCTCAGTCGGCGAGGTATGGTGTTTGGGCACCAGAAAAAATATGATGACGCCATGCGGGACTTGGCGGCAGCGGCAGGGATAGCCGCGCAGATCGGACGGCTAGAAACGGTCGAGGACCTGAATAGGGACATTGAGCTGCTTAGGGAGCTGCAAGCTCGTCAACTTGATGTGAAGTGACAGACGCTGAACATCGTAGAAGAACATAGACCTGTTATAAAGGATTCCAGAAAGCTGTTTCAATCGAAGGAGTACATGCATCTTCGCAGATCAGGTTCGCAAGGTTCTAAACTTCAAACGCCAGTGATCGACGCTCTTTCCTCCTCACGTGGACTCATCATTTTGATTACCGCGGCGATAGTGTTACGTCCGGCTGCCTCAAATGCATGCGAAGGCGCACTGAAAGCTAGAGAAAGCCCTGGCTCTGGCCAGTGACTGGAATTGGACCGCACCAGCAACTCGCCCTAATCTTCTGAATACAACACAAACTGCGTGGTATGTCATGGATCGTGACATCCGAATAATATCCTATATGGCATTGTTGACCGTCTGATATTGTAAGGATTCGCGTGTAGATATTGGTTGGCTAAATGATGTCTGGGAAGCTTGGTACGTCATATGCACTAATGGAATGATGACTCTACTGCTAGGCCCGATATCAAGTATAGTTTTGCACTGGTAAATGCTACCATAAACCGTCCGTACACTGAGCAGTACATCGAAATCTCTTGGGCGTCCTAAACGATCAAAGTCAGGCCGGGCTCAAAACCAGCCTGTTCAATGATGCATGGAACCCATTCTCAATGGGCACGTGCACTGAGACTGTAGTCCTCGTCCGTCGAGCCGCGCCGGGATTGAGCATTTCTGGCAGACATGAGTCACTGGCAGCGTCCTTTCCAAAGGAACCGGTGTATAGCCAAGTGAATAGATTACCCTCGTTTGCGCATTCGTATGCAGCAGTGCCCTAGCTAGTTATGTGGGCCAGGAGATTGAACTTTGCGCATGCATCCAATAATATGTATTGTGTACGGCTGACTCAGTGACGCCCCAACCAGGGTTTATAGAACGAGGCTGGTCTGGTGCAAGCGGCTCTCAATCAGACTGGTCAACCCGCGTTGACCAGAGCCTGAGGCTGGTACATGCCCCTCGTCAACATAGCGGCGGGTTAGCGGCCTGGTTAGCTTGCTGGCCAAGGTGCTAACGACGTGAGGCTCCTGACTCGCATTATACGAAAGTGCGCGCGTGCGCGGCTGGGCTGTTTCCGACTTACTTTCGACGCAAGAAGGAAAAGTTTTTGTTTAATCGGCCGTTCTTTTTAACAAACTCCATGCAAGCACTAGAGTCAGTATGAGTCTTACGCGGATTTTTCATGTACTGGCTGATCTCTTGCTTTCGCGGCTCCGGTCTTACTTTAGTCTTCATCAAAGTGCTAAGTAATCATCTTGGGTCTCCTTTCACGGCCAGATTTGCGCGTAGAAAGCTTTTGGCTGAAGGCTCTTGCTTTAGAGAGAGCTGCACGTTTTTGAAGCTTTTGTTTTTGCTCATCTCCTGCTGGATTCTGCGATCGGCGAGTATTTGGCCTACCAGCAAGCAGCATCGCAAATGCTGTTGTTCACCCTTACCAAACTTCGCAGGCTTCGCAAGTTTTTCTGCAGCCTTTTCTGGAGAGATTCAGGATTTTGAACAGATCAGGTCAAACGCTGGCTCTGTTGCTTCGCGGTGCTTTGCGCTCAGTGGCCGTTGCTCTGAGTAGTCTGAATGACGTGTTGGAAGGTGACAGATGACGTGTGAACTTGGTGACGTTATCACGAATCGAGTAGAGGCTTGTTGTCAAAGGTGACGTTACCACAGGTAGGTACAAACTTTACAATGTTAAGAGCGACCTCCTCAGGCGTCGGTGTAGCAACCTCTACTCGTTATGCAGCATGCTGGCGAACGCACATCGGGACCCACTGGTCCCGGGTTCGACACCGGCCACCGACCCCGTTGACTTTTGCTTTGGCCCCTCTAAGCGGCTTTTTGCTAAGTGCTTATTTTGTTCAATCTAGGCTGTTTTGTTACAGCAAGCTGAGTCTTGTACGGCCCAAACTTCTACATGTGCGCTCTTCGTTAGCATCCACACTCATTCGCATCCTGTTATGCGCAGCGATCATGCCTCTCACAACCTCTTTGACCATTGTGATAAGAGCGGCAACTCATGTTGTCAAGCAGCACGAGCAGAGCGGAATGTGAGCGGAATACGAGCGGAAGGAGCCGCGTGCGCGGCAGTGTGTCTCTTGTGACATTTGCCAAGACGTCAGAAATTTTCAGGGAGTGAAATGAGGTATGCAAATTCCTTAGGACGATGCCAAAAGTCGTGCTGATAAGATTCTCAACATCCTAGAAGTATGGATACGTGTAAACTGTCAGATAAGGGCGTTAATACAAACTGCTCGGAAGCTCCCTGAGCCGCTTGTATGTTCTGCGCTCGAATGCCTCACCGCTACTAACTGTACAACTAATTTTGCCAGTCCGCCTAAAAGCGTGCCACCACGGTATACGAGTATCTCTTACCCTTTGCTACAGGCATGATTATTTGGATTGGGCTCCTATCAAGGCGAAGCTCTCTTGAAAACTTCAACGGAAATGTCCCAGTACCAGAAACTAGAGCGGCAGGTGACAACTGAGACCATCAGGTTTTCATTGAGGGCGGTCAATAGTTCTCCTTGAAGAATTCAAAACCGGTGCTTGCGGCCGTATGCTTGCAGCACAGGCGCGAGAGCGTAGAGTTCAGAGATCGGGGGCCGCAGTAAAACACGCCTGCAGTGCAAGGAAAACGTTCAAAGAATATTGAATCGGTGGCCCGTCAGATCTTAGGCAATGGGTGACCCATGTTACTTCTGGCGCATATTCTGTGCTTGCTTTTTCCGCCGACCGACAGCCCGCCCGTGCCTTGGAAAGATTCCGCATGGCATATCAGCAGAACCCTTTCGTAAAGAACTCTACTGGAAGTCTCGGACCCAGGCAATTAATTTACGGACATCTTTCTCTGTCAAGTTCTTTTGAGAATGTACGTTGCGACGTACCGATCCTTGTGTTTGCGTGCCGTTTCCGCGCGGTCAAAAACAGCAGGTCCCAATCGGGGCGCCCAAGCTTGGTAGCAATCTGCGCAATCGGGCCATGATTGTTTGCAGAGACCTATGGGATCTGTAATACGAGCTTCCAAATTGAGTGTTGGTCTCTCAAACATATTCAAGGCCTTCCGCTTCAGATTCTGAGCGCTGCCTAATGAGAGGCGCCATTCTTGGCTTCTTGCTTCGAATACACGGCCACCAGAGGGGGCACGTTTCAACCCGCCTTTCCATAGGGTTTCTAAGTCCATCTCGCCATGGCGCCAAGATTGCTGACGAGTAATTGGCAAGGTCGCAATGGGTTTTTCTCCTAGTGGAAGCAGGAAGCAAGAGTTGACAAGCTTTCTCAGAAGTGGGCGATCTCAAACCCTTATTCTCGGAGCTCTTGAAGACGGAACCCAAATTCCTCTCAGAAAACGCACTCAAGATCAGAGTTCTTTCCGACGTCGCCTTCTCGTGAACTTTTTCTTTATTTTGATAGCCACTGATCACCTTCGGTGGAGGTGTTCGAGAGCAAACGTTTACCTTTGACGCCGCTTCAGAATCGCCGCCCAGTGCCACGTCGACGGTGCCGCGGTCAGCCCGCGCGAACGCCCCCGCGGTCGCGGCCGCGGCCGCGTCTAGCGCTCTCTCTCTCGTCAGATAGCTCGTCATCTCTAGCTGCAAGGAAGCAATTTTCTAACCGATTACAATATCTCCGCAGTTGCTTTGTAACGAGGTTCTGCCAATCGGGCGGTTGCGTAAAGATAAGTCCGTGTAACGCAGAGCGCAAAAAGGCTTCTGAGCAATCGGGGCCCGTCTGCACTATTCCTGTCTGATGCCAAAAGGCAGTCTACCGTGTTTTAGTTTGCAGCTCCAAAGGGCTCTATTCAAATCGTTGTCTAGCTTCTTAGATGACATCCCATATCCTCGGATATTCCGTTAAAAAAAGCGTATGCCAAAAACTCACTTTGTTTCGGGATGAATGCGTCCAAGGCGCATCGTCGAAGTGACGCTCAATCCAAGCAAGGGCCGCGCGGTCCTTTGCGACCCAGTGCAGATACACTTTCTCCAATCTGGCGGCCCCGTGTGCAGCCACGTGTCGCGTTGCGACTGGTGCGCAGCTTTCTTGTTCCGCGGGCGAGAACAGCGTCTCCTGGCTTGCTGAAACGCTACTTTTGTTCTCCTGCGAGCATACGAAGAAGTTTGGGATTGAAGTTTGACTGACCTGCGTTCAACGGTGTTCTTATCGAGTCAAGGTGGAGACGGAACGAGCCGGAAAATAATTCAACCTGATGCTAGAGAAGTATTTTCTGAATGTCGAGAGGAAAGCCGCTGAATGAGCATGAAGTGTCTCCAGGCAAAATCCCAAAGCGCTCCAGCTAGAAAGGAAAATAATAAGAGTTCGACAACTGCTGCGGATTGGGGACCTCTTAAAAACGCGGCGATTGCAGGTACAGGTAAAATCCCCCTTCAGCATACGAATCTTGTTTGTCGGCTCAGGTTGACAGATTGTCGTGCCGCCTTCTTACCTCAAACCTTGGTCTCAGATGGCGTAAGTACTCTCTTACAACGCTCGCAAACGGCGTCACACCGATCCCAGCCCCGATGAGAATGACCACTTTGAACCGGGCGAAGTCCTGAGACGGCGCCGCGTAGGGCCCGTCCAGAAGCAGCCGGGGCAGAGCAACCGGGGGTACACGTGGCGGCTTGTCAGCGTCCAGAAAGACACGTGGAAACTTCCCAGCCTCCAGATCAGTGCTTTCCGTGGCGAAACTGTTCCCAGTAAGAGCCTGAGAAAAGAACAAGGCATGAAGTAAGAAGCATTGACCAAAAAGAGAACCTTCGGATGCTCGTCAGGACTTTTTTACAGAGTAGTAGGGGCAATATAGTACGCCCAGGCCTCCAGGAATAAGCGTATGCGAACTGAAACCAACTCCTCAAGAATACCGCATTCAGCCGGTATCTTTACAAGTCCGGACTTTATGGTTGGAAGAAAGATGGAGGAAGAATATTGTCTGAAAGCAGACGTCCGGACGCCGACAGAATTCAACGTCCGCAGGAAGAAGGCACAAACCAAGTTTTCAATTTCCCGTCTGGAGTAACGACAACATTTTGAGTTCCAGAGACGAGAAGAGAGACGCGAGACGGGATACGAGAGACGAACCTGGTGAAAAGTCTGGCCCAGCGCGGAAGTCCAGTCGCCGACGGACGTCCGGATGTGGACCCGCAGGAGGGCGTCCGACGGGGCGGACGTCAGGCTGAAAGGGTGCCTGGAAGAGCCCACTTACAATTCGGTAAGCCATTTTGTCCTAGCACAATGAGAACTTCGTCGGGAGCGCTTAGATCGTTCTACGACGCGACAGAAAACACGGAATAGTACGACGTTTCTCATACGGCGACAGGAAGCCCGAATCTATACCTCTGCAGTCGCTCAGAATGCTACGTGGTTCTGAATCCAATAACGGGCATTCAATAGCCGTTACGGATGGGCCGCCACAAGCCTTGATGTGGGACGCTTTTCGTGGAAGTTTTCATATCCAGGTACGTACACGAAAACGGGTTACCACAGCGGTACGGTTAAAAGCGCTCACCATTGGAAAGCGGACACCCGCGGGCAGTTTATGAAAACGTACTGCCCCGGCCGGTAATCGAAGCCCGGGGGACGGGCTAGCGTCAGGCCAAGCACCTCACCGGAAAAAGTCTCCGCCTGGACTTGATACAAACATTAGATCTTCTTGAATCCCCTTCTGTAAATTTAACCTTCTGCTTCTGCCTACTGAAATCTTAACGGAGCCCAAACCTCGCCCGCTTGCTTTTGCAAATATAGAAGCGCAATTCTGCATCTCTAAAAGACAAACGCTTACGATACCGAAGCCAGCGACTTTGAGACATTTGAGCCCAATAATCTATCTTTTTCATCTATGCATTAGTATTATTGAATCTCCGGAATTGACACTCCCTAAATGGAAGTGCTCACCTTGCTCCAAATGAATACTCTTTCCTCTGCTAAGTTAGAGACTTGATACCGCGTACTGCCGGCTGGAATTAACGCGTTGCGAGATCCGTAGCGCTAACCTGGAGACACGGCGCCCGGTTCCGGTTCCGCCAGATCCTTGCTGCGCGGAATCCGCGGTCGAGAGCGTAGAATAGCAGCGGCGCGGCCAGCCATATCCAGGTCTGTGCATAAGAAAGATGATTGCATGATGAACGCCAGCCAATCCACACTTCGTGTCAACAAAGACGGCGGAAGCCTGCTACGGCGGACCCCCTTTCTTTCTCTGCGGATTATCTGTCTTGGTCAAAAAACAGAAGATCTGCTCGTGCGCGAAACTGCTTCGCTGAAAATGGAATTGGGAGGGATCCATAACTTCCTACCATTGCATATTCCGTACAGGAAAACACAAGTCGTGAGCAGCGATTGGACACCCGCGTGGTTACAAGACGCCCTCTTTTCGTTTTTATAGCGAAGTCTTTAAAGGAGACGGGAACTATGAAAGTACTGAAACCTAAAAACCCCTCCGAGAACTGGCCCTCACCGAGGTCGTCGGGTAGCCGCCGAGCGGCCGCCGCGAGCCGTGCAGGATCACGAGCGGGAAGCACAGCAGGAGCAACACGTGGCTGTACCAGAAGGCCTCGAACCCGGTCACGTGGCGGAGAACGACGTTCCTGCGCCGAGAAGGAGAATTTCAGGCTGAGGGCTCATATGAAAGTGCTGAACGAATCTCGAAGCCGAAGCCGTTCTCGCGGTTTCCCTTCCCCTCTTGATTCAGTTCGGAATCAATCAGCAAATTTCTAGATCAGATTTGAAGCTTGCGAGAACCTCACAACCCATTTCAAAAAACGGGTTCTTGTCCGCCCAGAGAGCTCCTACTATTGCCGATATTCCATCGCGTTTTCGCTTCTGCGCTCGAGACGAGATCAACTTTCTTCTTTTTCTCGTTCGCCCCAACCTACCCTCATCCATCAAAGTCTTTGAAGCGCGTGCAAAAACTATCAAGCGAGCATCGAAATTCAGATTCTCAAACCATTTATTCAACAATAGAGAATCAACAGCGGTGACTCCGTTGCCTTACTTCATCCTGCACCGCCGGACGCACGGAGCGGCGAGCGGATACGCTATGAGCAGGATCGCGATGATCATAAACCCGGTGACGGCCGTTTGCGTTTTCAGGAGCGCCCAGTAGTTGGGCTGCGCGTCGCCGTAGACGTCGCCCACTAAACCCTCAAACCTCCCCGCGTTCGCGGCCGCGAGGCGCGGGTACGTGGCCGTCAGATGGACGACCGCGTGGAGCAGAGTCCAGAAAAGGAGCGCCAAGCCGATGATCTGGAAAAGGAAAACGATGGGTGTTACTGTAGACTCGAAACACTTTGATTCTTTGACCTTTACTGGATGTGTTTCAACGGACAGAACATGGAAACGGATCGCTCGCTAACAAGCGTTCAACTTCAGTCACTCCTTTTCGAATCGACAAGATGGACTGCCAACCGTGAATCATGATGAAGTGGGTTAAGAGGTTAACGATGCGCAATCTTGTGAGGTTGCGACCAGTGGGCTCTCAATCAGCAGCGGTAAATCGTACGCTGGACCGTTATTTCCTTCAAATTCAGAGATACCCGTCGACTCCAAGGCTCGTGTCTGCCAACATGACTCCCGCGAACCTTCTATCAACATTCAAAACGTTTAGATCCGTTTTCAAGCCCGCTCGATAAGCTAGGACAAAAGGGGCGTACCTCATGGAATGTAGAAGCCGATTGAACAGGAAGCGCGGCCGCGCGGCCGCGCGCGTGATTCCAGAGCGTCGTGGTGGTCAGGCGGGAGACGGGGAGCAGGATGAGGGCCAGGTTCAGCTTGAGCGCTTCGCCCGCGCCGCGCGCAATGCAAAACCAAAAGCTGCGGAAGTGCTGAGTGTTTTGACCTGATTCTTCGAGGTAGAAAGAGTTCGAACCGTTAATTTCCATCCGAGCGCGCCTTATTTTGCCACGCGGAAAAGAGAAAATACTGAGAAGGGCCAAAGTAATGGTTACAGACATTGAGTGACGTAGTCCGCCATGGATCAGATCGTCTAACAGCAAGTTGCCTTCAAAGGAATTGCGGTTGAGGTGAGCCTTAGGAAAGTTCTGAAAAACTTTTTCAAATTGATCAAGCCAAACTGCACTTTGAGGTCCCAAACCTCCAAAGCGTAGGGGAAAATCAGAATCCAAACGAAGACCTTCCTTCAAATCAAAACTTGCTTACCCCACTATCTGGTACTCCGGTTTTTCCATCGAGTACACGTACATGTAGGCAAACAGCCCCGCATTCGCCGCGAGCCACATTAGCAGGATCGTCGCCTGCGCTTTCCGGTTGGCGAGGTAAACAGCCCACCGGCCCGACCAGCCCCGGACAGGGAAAACCGTCGGCCCTAGTTGTTCCGCTCCGTATTTCTTAGATTCCGTCGCCGTTGTTGGTTCCGCTTCGTTCCGCTCTGGTTCCGCCATTGCTGATTTTCCCGCGTTTTCCACCATCACATGTAGTTCCGCCACGTTCCGCTCTGGAACCTTCACCGCTGATTGTTCCACTTCGTTCCCCTCTACTTCCATCACGGCGGATTGTTCCGCTCCGTTCCGCTCTGATTGTACTACGACGAGTGGTTCCGCTCCTTCCCGGTCTGATCCGCTGGTCCTTGGGTTGCCCGTCCTGCCCGTTTCCGCTTCCCCTACCCAAATTACAACCGTACCGTGCTGTCCTGATTCAGTCGTCCGCTTTCCTGCCCTTCCGTCCTCTTCCGGCTCCGGTGGCGTCGTCGGCTTCTCTCCGTCCTTCAGCGCCGCTTCTTCCAAACCCATCTCTAGATCGGCACACTTTCTGACGTCACCAACTGCTCTGGGTACATCTGCTGGTACAAACGCCTTCCTGGCAACACGATCCTTGTTTTCAAGCACCTGGGTCATGTCGGACCCCTCTGATCTTTTCAAAGCATTGCTCGCAGGATCTTGCTGATCACGCTTCCCCGTTATTCCACAGGCGCCTGGATTTTCTGCAACAGCTTTTGCGCACTCACTTTGCTTGGCTTTGTTAGCTAGCACGTAATTCTTAGAATGATCTACAAACCCCTCTTCAGGATATCTCGCCAATATTGCCCCTCTCGAAGGCGCTCCTTCCCCCGCTTTCACCTCCCAGAACTTAACCCTGGTCCGGACGCTAACCGGCGAGTCAGACCGGCGCCCCGTTTCCAGCCTGAAAGGAGACAACCCAGTTGAACGGGTCTCAGAAAACCCTTCCTTGTTCGAAGCCCCTCCCTCTTGCTTTGTGCTTACGTCACCCGTTGACGATCCTCCCTCTGCAATCAAAGGTGAACCGCTGACGTCACCCTCCCTTGGTTTGCTGGCCTTTGAAGCTGCCTCTGACGCCTTCCAAGAGAGACGCCTCTCTAGACGAAAGGTTCTGGGAGGGTCTTCTTCTTCACGGACCATCTGTAAGACAGAAGAGTCGAGGCTTCTTCTGAACGCGGCCGACATGCTGGCGCGATCAAGATAACCTCCAAACCGCCTGGCGTTTTCTGGAGCGTGCTTCCTCCTGAGCGACTTTAGTGGATGTTTTCAGCGATTGTGCTACAACAAATTGCTTTGGAAATTCACTAAAGTGGACGGCACATGCTTCGCGGAGACTCGTACTAAACCTTCTGCCCACTTTTCTCTAGTTCCTTCTGTGAAAGCTTAGTCATGCGCTTCATCATTCTCGCAGCACAAACTCTGAAAGCAAACATCATCCCATACGCAAGCAAGGAGCTGGTTTCCCCAAGACCAGATAGCGCCTCACCAAAGGCAGACGTTGCAGGGTTGCGCCGATATTGCCGTGAGGTCGAAGAGACTATGGGACGTTCCAGAAGATGCAGTCAGCTTACAGGCCATCTGATGAAGGTGAAAGCTTAGAAGAAACCTGCCCCAAAGTTGAAGCAGGCGCAACTCATTCAAGAAAAGATTGATCGATAGGTTTCACGCCTCCAGTTGAAAACAATCTGATAATGGCTGTGATTAGGCAATCTCGAGGTCTGCAGATTCTTCTTCATACTCTAATAGAAATGGCAGCATCGCTGTCGATTATTGTTCGAATCACGAAAATTTTCCTACGTTGTCCTTCCCTTGAGGAATTGCTCAACTTTTTCCTTGCTCATCGGCTCTCTCCTAAACGAACATGCTGGATTCCTCGTTTCTCTTGAAAGGAAAACATGACAGATATTATGAGCCTACTCTTCAGATTACATGTTTCTGTCTCGTCTATCGATTGGACCGCGAGTGACGCTGTCTTCTATCACAGCTTAAAAGCTTTGCCTTCATCCCTGACCGCTTATTCAAGAATTCTCGACAAGCTAGGATCTTATTCGACTTGACGATCGGGAAATTGCTTTCACAGATGAGCCAAGCTTTTTCTCGAACTTTTCAAAAGCATCCTTTGCACAATTCAAAAGTCAGGGGCGCCGCTTGTTCGTCAATGAACCATTTTCAGGACCGAAGAGACTTGTACGTATCTACACATTTCGTTTCAAGCTGTCTCTACCCTATTTAAACGCATATTGTGGTCGTCGAGACCGACAAAGGTTCGAAAACAGTTTTGTTCATTCTTCAAAATAGTCCAATTGCAGCATTTCAAATCTTCAATGGACAATTATAGTCGCATCGGAACAGGATTCATGACTTCCGGCGTGCCACAGCTAGTCTGCATACAAGTTGTGCGTACTTCTCATACTTTTCTCTCGCATCTCTTACAGAGGCGGTATTCGAGCCCATCGAGGTAATCCAGTGACCTGTAAATTCAAGGCGGCCTCGTTATCCACGAACTGGTGAGTAAATCCTTTCCAGATGTCCACCAGTATGCCCTTTAAGCTGTCAATAGAAGGCTCTCGGATTCTGACGTTAATTACCGCCACATAGATAAGGCCGATGACGTCATGCAGGCCAGGAACGCTCTCGCAGTATCCGCCTCCGCTTGTTCCAGATATTACGCGCCTATGCACAAGGTAATATCAAAATGATCTGGTGATGTTATCAGTGGATGTTATCGGTTCATGATGGGTACCTGAGTTGCTATAGCCCCCCAGTGCACTTCCCCCCAATGTGACTACCACCGGCACAAGGCTTTGGCTTTGCTGGAAAAGAGTCTGGATCGTAGATGCAACCAAGAACGACATAGAATAAGCAGAATCCTGCGCTGATCGCTAACTTCTACACTCTGCTCAAAAGAGGGAAAATGTCGCAGGCTGTCAGGCTGTCGGCGGCCAGTTTCGAATCGAACCCGCGACCAAGGACCCGGGTCGCGGTTGTGTTCGACGACTAGCAGGCTAAATACGAGGGGATGTTGCTACACCGACAGCTAAGAAGGCTATGTTTGAAGGCACGAATCGTAGGTGCTGAGAGCATGGTGGAGAATGTTCAGACCTCGACACTGGAGTCTAAAGGAAACAGAAGGTTTCGACTCTTAACAATAGATGGTTCTTTTCTGGTTATGGGCTAATTAGAAATTAAAGTGGTTAAGTGTCCAATAACCAAACTTGGGCGGTAACTAGCCTAGAAACAGATTAAAGCCATATTCTTTGTCAAATCATTTGAGACATAAGTCTGGTAATAACCTGGTTAGCAGCCATACCTTTCTGTGTCGAAGCTGCTTCGACTTACATACTTGTGTGAGGGAGCCCGCTGGGTTTGCACACAAAGCACTTTTTGCTCCGCTACCCTCTTCCAAACACCACAAATTAGAAAACCGAACGTCGAGCAATGAGTCCGCCTCTCCGCGACTCTATATTCACCAGTTAACCCATCGAATGCGACCCTTAATTTTTCCTCAATCAGTCCGCTTGGCAAACTTTCAGGGTTTCAAAGTAAGACGCCGTGCTACCTTTGTGAAGGAGGCTCAGTCGATCTTGGTGGGCCGTCCGCAAAACCGCGCGCGTACGAATCTGCGTGAAGCCATCCACAGGGGTCATCTCCAAAGAGCTGTCCGGCACCCTGAAGCGCGCGCTCGACGCGCTCGCGGGGTCGCTGCATTCGAGGGTATCTCTTCACGCTACACGCAAGCGCTGTCCTTCGTCCGGAACGACTGTAAGCAGTTCCCCTCGCGGACGGACGTATTGACGGAGCTGTCCGTGCTTCTGGACCGCGGCCGCCTCGCCGCGCTCGCGCTATCGCTCGCGCGCGCGCAAACCCTGCACGACAGGTTTGGCGGGGTGCTTCAAATCGAGGCGATGCTAGCGGCCGAGCAAAACGACGAAATTGCAGAAGACATACTCTGGACGGCGGGCTAGACGCGCGCGCTCCTCGCGGCCCTGATGCGCGCGCTTTCAGGGATCACTGGAGGAGCGGATGGCGGAGCTGAGGCGAGCGTGCACTTCTGCAAGCGGGAGACGCTGACCCGGGTGATTACCAGCCGGGCCGACCTCGGCCTCGCTGACGTGGCGAAAAAGTTCCAGCTCTCGTGTACCAGAAGACGCTGGCGGACATTGGTGAACTCGGAGGTTGGGGGGCACTATCCGACGTGTAATTTAAGCCTTATATCGTGTGGCCCCCAATATGCTGTTTGATTGAAACTACAGTTGCCTTTTTAAATGAGACGCAATTGGTAAAGAGAGCAATCTTCGAGAGCACTATTCAATTGCTTTAAAGGGGGGGGAGTAGAATAAGTTAGGGCATACAGGATAGGCATCTGCTTTTTCAAGATACAGTGAACCCCACAAAATCACGTGCGCCTCGAAGAGGTTGCAATTGCGGGCACGCGTAATGAAGAACGCCGTTCTCGAGGAAGGAATGCGTCTGGATAGCTCATGTTGGTTAAGTCGATGAATCAAGCTGTGGACTTGACGGGACACTTTTCGAGTTCTGCATCGGTTGAAAGTCAAGCAGAGCGGATCTCTTGTCTCGCAAAGGCTTACCCGTGTGAATATGAACTTGCACGTTCTTTGATGAGAATCGTCTTGATTAGAGAAGACTCGACTTTCAACATTCCGGCGTGCAACACGTTTCCGGGGATTTCGAAGCCAACCGCCGTGTCAAACGCGTGTCACACTTGGTCTTGATTTGCGGTTGCTGGTCCTCGTCACTAATAGTGGCAGCAATAATCTACAGTAAGGAGCAGCTCTAGCTGTCTCTTCAGGCTTGCATTCGCCAGTAATCACTAGGTCTTCGACTCAAGTAGACTGCCTCGAGAATTGAAAGCTCATTGTCGCGTATAGAACTGAGCTGTTCGTTCCAGACTTTCAATTAGTCTCCTACATGCACTTTCTCTATCTCAAACAATCACGTCTTCCAAGCTTCGTGTCACTCTCCCCCAGGATCGTACAGCCGTAACACTCTCAAGCGGACGCCGGCGCGCTGTAAGGTGAACCTGTTGTAGATCTATCAGATCATACGACCGGAGTTGAGGACAGTGTTCGATCTAGTTCTAGGTTAACCGATAACTTGGTTGGTTAGCCTAACTACGAACATTAGCTTAGAGTACAGTCATACTTAGGCTGAACGTGATTGTGCTGAATTCATACTTCACGAGACAAGAAAAACAACTCTCTCTGCAAGCGCCTCGATCCATGGTGTCCACCATGTGTGTGCATCATATCTAAGCCTAGCTGCACTCCTACAGGTTATGGGCCCACCACGCCACGGTGGTGAGAAAAGCAAGCAATCTAGCATCATTCTGGTTGGTCTGGTTTGGAGCCGGTCATAGTGGCACCAGGCCAGCTATGGGAAAGGCCTGAGTGAAATATCCAACCACCTTCCAGCTCTCCCTGGGGAGAGCGTGATGCAAAGATTTGCAACTGTTAGAGGCAGCAGAGCTTGCAGATAGAGAGACGGACAAATCTTCAACAAAACGATCAAGACTTTCTGAGCCAAGCAGGGGACCTCTGAAGCGACTCGCTCAAGTACCTGTGAGAAGAGCTGCAGAAAGATAAGATCGAGCAGAAGACTGTCCGAAGATTCAGCTAAAGAGAAGAAATGGAGTCAGAGAAACTCCTCATCTCCAAGCTGAATTCAGAGAACTATGTCTCCTGGAAGACTCAGATGAGACTTCTCCTGACACACAAAGATCTGGATTCTGCAATCGAACCAGAGACAAGGTCAGAAGAGGTGCTCAACCGAAGGTCAGAGGATCAGAAGAAAAGAGAAGCCGTCACTCAAAAGAAAGCTCTCGCTCTGATTGGCCTGAAGGTGGAAGAAGAATTCCTCGGGGTGATTGAAGATGCTGGGGACTCAGCAAGGAAAGCATGGAGTACCTTCGAAGAGATGTTCCAAAGCGTCACGAATGGGAGGAAGCTAATGCTCAGGCAAAAACTCGCGACGTTGAAGATGGAACCTGGAGAAAAGGCTGCAAAGTATATCTCCAGAGCAAAAGATCTCAAGAGGGAGTTGCTACACGCCAAGCTAGACACCAGTGACGTAGATCTAGCTGCTGTTTGTGGTTTGTCTGCAGAGTTCAGGGAGATCAGGATGATCCTCGAACACAGCTCTACAGAAATAACTCTCGAGAAGGTGCTCCCCCTACTACTCCAGCATGAAGCAAGAATGGAGAGAGACGAAAATCTCGAAGAAAAGATGAATTCCACAGCTTTCTTCGGGAAAGGGGATCAGCCTAGGAGAGAGTGGAAGGGATCAAGAAAGGAGAAAGATCCTGGAGGCCTCGAGTGCTACACGTGTGGTGGTAGAGGACACAAGTCTGCCGTGTGTCCCTCAAGAACTCCCTCCAGATCAGAGTCGAAGGGGAAGAAGAAACTCTCAGCCAACAAGTGTGAACACTGTGGGAAGAAGGGTCACTCAGAAGACAAGTGCTGGGGAAAGCATGGAAAGCCTCAGAAGAAGGAGAAGCCGAATTCTGTTGCTTTCTCAGCATCTGAGGACAAGTTTGCCTCTAATCACTGGCTCCTGGACAGTGGAGCCTCTCACCACTTGACAGGTGACAGGTCAAAGCTCTTCGATCTCAGACCTGCCCCAGAAGGACTCCAAGTCGAATTCGGGAACAAGGGAATGCTGAAGGTTGAGGCTCTTGGATCAGCTGAGCTCAACTGCGTCACGCCAGAAGGAACTCAAGTCGTCTTGCTGAAGAACGTCAGACTGGTTCGAGGCGTTGGAGCAAATCTCGCTTCCCTGACCAAGATGCTCGAGGGAGGAGCCGAAGTGAGGGGGTCAGGAAGTCAGATCAGTCTGCTATTCAAACAGGAAGTGGTGATGCAGGCAATCAACTCTGACAGCATGTTGATCATTCAAGAAGAGGGGAATGGTCAAGCGTTTTCTGTCAAGGAAGAGCAAAGTGCTGAGCTTTGGCACAGGAGGTTCAGTCACGCTAGTCCTGAGGTGCTTGCCAAGATGGCAGAACAGGAGTCCGTTTCCAATCTCCCAGTCAGTGCAAAGCAATTCAGACAGCTCAAGGAGAAAGTTTGTGAGCCGTGCATCTTAGGCAAACAAACTAGACTCCCCTTCCAAAACAGCTATAGCCACTCCTCTCGCAAGCCTCTAGAGCTCCTTCACATGGATCTCTGTGGTCCTCTCCCTGTTAAGAGCAAAGGAGGTAGCAGATACATCCTGACAGTCACTGATGACGTCAGCCGATGCTCAGTCGTCAAATTTCTGCTAGAGAAGAGCCAGGCCAAGAGTGCAATTATCGGGATTGTGAAACAACTCGAGAACCAGCTAGACTCCCGAGTCAAAGAGTTTAGAACTGACAGGGGAGGAGAGTTTCTGAACAAGGAGCTAGCTCAGTTCTGCAGTGAGAAGGGGATCGTTCATCAGACGACAAATCCGTACTCCCCCCAGGAAAACGGAGTAGCAGAACGTCTGAACAGAATTCTCTTGGAGAAGGCGCGAGCGATGCCACTTCAAGATGCGGGACTCTCAAAGGAGCTTTGGGCCGAAGCAGTTTTCACAGCCAACCACGTGCGAAACAGAACCCTGTCGAGAGCGCACGGGAAGACGCCTTTGGAGGTTCTGACTGGAGAGAAACCGTCAGTTTCGCACTTGAGAGTCTTCGGCTGCATCTGCTACGCTCACGTCCCTGCACCGAAGAGGAAGAAGCTGGACGCCGTTGCTGAGAAGGGGGTGTTCGTCGGCTACGAGCCACACACCAAGGGTTACCGGGTTTTGAAGTCGGACGGGTCGATCCAGGTCTCAAGGGACGTAACCTTCCAAGAGACTGCGGAGAAGACTGAAGACAAGCCTCCCTCAACAATCCCCCAAGATGCAGATGAAGGAGATCTGGAGTCGGAAGGAGAAGCAGAGGGAGAGCCTGACGTCATCAACCCGCACGGCGAACCGGAGGGAGAACCCGAGCCAGCTACCCAACCGGGTCAAGCTAACCCTCCTGCTGAGCCAAAACCCTACAACCTGAGAGGGGACGGAGAGAGACGGAGCAACTCTTGCTACACAGGTCGAGAGTGGGTGAGAGCCAACGCAGCGCGCCAAAAGGCAGAGGGAGAGCCGGAGACGCGAACGGAAGCGATGGCCCGAGAAGATGGGGAGCTGTGGGAGAAGGCGATGGACGATGAGATTGCCTCGCTCTTGGAGAACGGAACTTGGACGGTGGAGAAGCCTCCGGATGGGGTGAGACCGGTTCCAGTGAGGTGGACGTTCAAGCTGAAGCGGGACAAGCAGGGGCAAATCGAACGGTACAAGGCGAGGTTCGTGGCAAAGGGGTTCAAACAAAAGCACGGGGTCGACTTCGAGGAAGTCTTCGCCCCTGTCAGCCGATTCCCCACAGTCAGAACCCTCCTAGCCGTAGCCGCAGCGAGAGATCTTGAGATCAAACAACTTGATGTCAAAACCGCGTTTCTGAACGGAACCCTGGAGGAGGAGATTTGGGCTGACCAGCCAGAGGGGTATGAAGTCGGGGGATCAGAGATGAAGCTGAGACTGAAGAAGTCCCTCTACGGTCTCAAGCAAGCCCCCCGTGCCTGGTACCTGTGCCTCTCTTCTGAGATGCAGAAGATCGGGTTTAGCCCCTCCACAGCGGATCCGGCGCTCTTCTGCCGGAAAGATCCGGGGAAGGAAACCTACACGGTTGTCTGGGTAGACGACAGCCTAGTGATCGGGACTCCGGCCGCAGTCGAAGAGACGAAGGAGGCCCTGTCAGCCGTTTTCGACATCCGTGACCTAGGGGATGCGAACTTCTTCCTGGGAATGGAGATCGAGCGGGACCGGGTTATCAAGACCCTGAAGTTAACCCAGAAGAGGAGCATCAAAGACCTGCTGGCGGAGCACGGGATGGCGGACGCGAAGGCGCGGGCGACCCCGATGAGCCCGGCGGAGAAGCCGACTCGAGAGGGAGAGAAGTTGGACGTTTCGGCGTTCCCCTACTCCCGTCTCATCGGCAGCCTGCTCTACATCGCCAACTGCACCCGTCCTGACATCAGCCAAGCCGTCGGGGTCCTGTCCCGGTTCATGAGCAAGCCAACCCGGGACCACTGGAAGATGGCACGGGCGGTGCTGTCCTATTTGGCGGGCACACCAGAAGTCGGGTTAAGCTTTGACGGGACAGAGGGGCTGAAGTTGAAGGGGTTCTGCGACGCCAACTACGCGGGCGACATCGACACGCGGCGCTCAACCACTGGCTACGTCTTCACTCTCGGGGGCGGAGCTGTTTCGTGGGCGTCCAAGTGTCAACCGACGGTGGCGTGCTCAACTGTCGAAGCCGAATACATGGCGGCCGCGTTCACGACCAAGGAGGCGCTGTGGCTAAAGAAGCTGTTTGCAGACCTGGACATCGAGTGCGAGACGGTGCAGATCGGGTGCGACAACCAGGGAGCAATCCAGCTGTCCAAGCATCCCATCGCCAGCCAGAGAAGCAAGCATATAGATATCAGCCATCACTTCGTGAGAGAACGCATCATGAGACGTGAGATAGAGTTCAAATACGTCAGCACAGAGAGACAGGCAGCAGACTTTCTAACCAAACCAGTCTCAGCCGATAAGTTTGAACTCTGCCGTAACCTCATTGGTCTGATGTAGTGTGAGAGAACTCCGTTCGAGAGGGAGTGTTGTAGATCTATCAGATCATACGACCGGAGTTGAGGACAGTGTTCGATCTAGTTCTAGGTTAACCGATAACTTGGTTGGTTAGCCTAACTACGAACATTAGCTTAGAGTACAGTCATACTTAGGCTGAACGTGATTGTGCTGAATTCATACTTCACGAGACAAGAAAAACAACTCTCTCTGCAAGCGCCTCGATCCATGGTGTCCACCATGTGTGTGCATCATATCTAAGCCTAGCTGCACTCCTACAGAACCAGAAGCAGCGAGGAGCGACTCCGTAAAGGCTCTGTGCTCAACCCAGGTAAGCGGTTCCCCCTAGCTTCGGACACTGAGTACGTGACGTTTTCCAAGTGGGTACTATTAGGTGTTGGATTCTTCGCTCTAATCTTTCTAGTTGTCTATGTGGGGGCGATTGAAGTTTTGTTCTTAATCGTTGTAATGATGCTGGATATTAAGATTGCTCAAATGCAAGAGAATGTTCTACGCTATCTTCCAGTAGGCGGTATGGTTGGACAGATGTTTCTAGTGATTTGAGAATGATCTCGTTCCCGTATTCAGTTGATCGTTTGCCTCGTTCTTCAAATCGGCAGCGTATCCACCAGCATTCTCGGACTCGATTGGCATGTTGCGGAGAACAGTCTGAGGCCCACAGTCGATTCTCAGTATCGCACGGATTTTGCTAGCGACCTCTAAGGGACTTCAAGACATGACTGGTCGCCTCCTCCTTTAATCGGAGAATCTGAACGATTGGTTTTCGTCCTTTCCAAGCCTCTTCGAATCTTGCCAGCATATTCGGAACGACACACTTACAACTATGTCGTCACCGTGTGTGGTCATGTGTTGAGCATCTTTTAAGCACGCTAAGTTCACTTCCGCATTCTCATCTCGCCTATCGGAATGCTTTCACGGGAAGCTTTCCGCCCTTAACCAAGATCAAAGGGCAGTGACCCAGATGTAGACCCAGGTTCGCTTGGTAGAAGGGCACTTGACCAACCACAAACCAAACTTGGTTGCATACCACTTCTCCCCGTGTACGACCTTCTGAGAAATCTGTTCCTAATTGCTTGCAGATTCCCGCGTTCGTCATGGCCAAGCAGCTGGCGCTCCCTTTCCTGGTTGTCGCCGTCTTTTTTGCGGCCCTAGTCGGGGCCAACACCCCGAGCTCCACCTCCCCCAATGCTGAAATCAACACCGTCCGCTACGGCTCTTTCTCCCTCGCGCCCTTCGTCATCCGTGACGTAAACAACCGGCGCCCCGGCATCACCGTGACGCCCTCAAACCAGGAGCTGTTCACCAACGTCACCTCGTCGCCAGCGGTGACGTCAGCGGATCCGGTCGACCCGCCGGCTGCCGTCGCGTGCACCGGGACGTCAGCCGGACGCAGGAGACCGTCTTCCGGCGACAATGGCCCGGGAAGTTGTCCTGGGACCGCGGCCGACCCAAGCCCCACGAATCAATCGACCGCGGCTTCCGTTATCTCAAGCATGGTGAGCAAGATTGCGGGCATGTATCTGAACTGCAGGATCACGGAGCCGGTTCGAGGGACCTGACCGGCTACTGTGAGCATGTTAAGAGTTACTCTCTTTGAAGACTTGAACTGTTCCTGGGAAGTGAGAAAAAGCGTTCTTGAGACTCGGAACTGAGAAAAGATCTACTCTCCTTGACGACTTGAACCGTTCTTGAAAGGAGAAAAATCGTTCTTGAGAAATGAGACTTTAAAGATCTACTCTCTTTGAAGACTTGAACCGTTCTTGAAAGTGAGAAAAACCGTTCTTGAGAAGTGCTTCTGGGCTCGGTCGTGGGATACTCGTCTTCGAGTTTGGTGGTCAAAGATAGTCTGCTCAGGGAAACTGCCAGGGCCGCAATTGCGGCTCTTCGCAGTTTCAACTTTCGGTCACCTTAGAGGCCCTGGAGGACGTTCTGTCTCAACAGAGGTCTCTGAGAATGTGAGCCGTTTCGAGATCCTTCAAGAAGAGCCTCGTGCATTCTTTTGATCCAAGTCGAGCAAGCCTGTCTCAGACAGATGCTTGCTCGAAAACGCCGAATGTGGTTTCTTCCGCGAGTTCCCGTATCGAATCGAGAGACCCTTTACTCTCCATAAGTCTTGATTTTATGTTTATGTGTATGTTGAGTTAGATCGGTTCCCCGGGCTAAAACAAACTGAGAAACTAAACCCCAGTTAACATGCTCCGCATCCGTACCCACCCCAAACCCCCAGACCAACCCCACCCGTCCCCCGGGCATGATCTGACTCAACACAGCCGTAACACAACATAAAATCGAGACTACTTTACTTTCCCCTCTAAAGCAGGACCCCTCGTCGGCGCGACACGCCTCCACCCAATTCTTCAAGGTCGCGCTCGCGCCCCCCCCAAGCGCGCGCGTCCTGACGTTTGACGGGATCGACAACCTGGATCAGCGGACGGCTGGGACGGGCATTTACAATAATACCAACCCCGACGTGGAGCCGTCCGATGGCGGGCTGTGCGCGGGCAACGGATTCGTCGTCCAGGTCGTCAAACGCGCTCTCGTCGTCTTCGATTCCGCTTCCGGGGTCCAGCTGACCGTTCCGGTGGCGCTGAACCAGTTTCTGCAGGTGCGCAAGAATCCGTCTTGAACCTTTTCAACCTAGCGGAGGTACTTTTGAAAAGCTGCTTTGATTGCATGCGGGAGAGAAAGATTCAAGGCTTTCCTTTCTCTTTCACTTTCTCTTTTCTTAATATCACACGCGTGTTAATTCGAAAAGGGGAAGGCGATCTTAGCAAACCCCTAAAATCACGATAAGGGTTCTTGCCCTCAGAAGAAGGGAATCTGTATACGAGTGTCTACAGGAACACCTAATCAGATAGGCTGAACACTGGTGTAGTTTAAAACCGACCTCACGGTTCGCTGCCGTGTTCAGACTGCGCTCTGGACTACTCTTCGTTTTTCGGGCAATACGGACAGTTCTCGTTTGTCGAGCATTCGAGAGGCCTGATTGATGTGCCGGCACACAAACAATGCTGTTCACCCTTTTACCTGGAGCCTTGAACCATCTAGCCAGTTTTGCACGTTGCCAAAACCTTTGAACCAAGACTCCTGTGAGGCGACTCTTTATTCGGGAACATGGCCCGAGAAATCGAAGTTCGCGCCCCTCGCAGGTATTCTCTTCAACTTAGAATTAGTAAGAGCTAGAATAGTAAGCTCCTCCACTAACAATAAAGACCTACCCACAAAAGCACGGCCGCTCCGCACCCAAACCCACCCTAACCCCCAAACTAACCCTACCCGTCCCAGGCTGGTTAGCTTACTATTCACTTTTGCTAAATTGAAGTCTCTTCTCGCAGGTGGCCCCGTTTAACAGTACCACCGGAGCCGCGCTCGGCGCGTATACCTCTAGCCCCCGCTGTGTATTCGACCGGGACACCGGGCGCTTCTTCTTCTCGTTCCTCCTCAACACGCTGAACGAAACCACGTTCATGCGCATGGCGCCGAGCGCCACCCTAGTTGCCGTCACCACCAGCGGCGACCCACGTGCGGGTTACGCTCTCTACCGGCTGCCCACCACAAACGACGGCACCGAAGGGACGCCCGATCTGAGGCCAACCTGCCCGTGTTTCCTGGTAAGCTGCAGCCGTCACCTCTTTTACCAACTTACCATGAACAAGCGGTAATGATTGATGCAAGGGAGCAGTCCACTTTTTCGGGTTCTAGGCTTTTAGGGTTTTGTCAAAACCCTAAAAGCCTAGAACCCGTGAACCCGTAAACAGACGTTCTCCAGAATAGTGGACTGTGGTCTCTGCGCCCGTGACCAGACTTCCAGAGTTCGGGCGGACCGCTTGATACGAGTCTTTGCTGTGTATCAACTTTCAAGCGCAAGGGCTGAAGTATCCCAAGTCCCTCCAGCGCGCGTGTTCACGTCATGTCCTTCTCACTCCGCATCTCAACAAAGTCATGAGCCACCAGATCGCAAGCAGCAGGCCCGGATCCATTGAAAGAGCACTCTCTCGGCCCAGGACCCGGCACTTCGTGGGTTTGGAAATCTCAGATTCCAAGCGTCAAATAAGCGGATATTCCGGCTTCTTGAGATCACAGAAAAGCTCTGAAGTTCTGGAGGATTTCTGGATGCCAGATTTCTATTTTCTGAAACCTAGAGATGCCAAATTCCTGCAAACATTTCAGGCGGATGCCAAGATTCCGGTTCCAGGGCCGAACTTTCATTGGAACGTTTTGGACATCTCCGGCTCTCTCTAGGCCGCTGTGCTCACAGAAAGCGTCCCTCTGTCTCAGAACGAGCCGAAGCTCGCCGTCAATGCGGACGTCCTGACGTTGAACGGAATATCGTTCTCGCTCTCCACGTTCGAAAGCTCAACTCAGGACGTATACGCTATGTCCAAGTTTGCGCTGGCGGCCGGGGACGCGTCCATCCCAACCGCCGCTTATATCAACAGCACGGCTACGCTCGTCGAGGTAAGCTGCACAGGAGGTTTTCGCCCTTAACCATAGCTGGTTATGGGCTGATTCTGGAACGGTTATGTGTCCGATAACCGGACCCGGGCGGTAACCAGCCTCGGAGCAAGATTAAAGTCCGGTTACTTGTCCAAGAATCTGAGAAAAAGGCTGGTAATCAACCTGGTTAGCAGCCAAATCTTGCTGTGACTGTTTGATGTCGGCGCTTGTCTTCTGTCTCCCTCAGCTTCGAATTGTTTGTCAAATTGAGATCTTTCAGTTATTTTTTATCCCTGCGTTTGGCTGCGGCTGAGTCGGTTTCTGGGAGCCGCAGTATGGAAGCGGACTTCGCTCTTTGACAAGAAATCCTCTCTTCAAGCGCTTTGTCCTCAAAGGAGCAGATTATTCAGACATATGCGAGTCCCCCGTTGAAAACATTTTTACCGCCTTCATTGTCACTCATGTCGAAAAGAGAATTTGCACGTCCGTTCCAGAATAATTATCGAACTCAGGTCGGAGGGAAAAGCTGACTTGTGACTTCAACCAACCTCTCAAAACAGATTCCCAATGCTTCAATTGGCGATCGATCATAATGTGTAACGTCGGATGAGTCTCCCTGTAAGCATTTTCAGCAGGGTGAACTGAACTGCCCCGTCTTGGATGATTTCCCAACGGGTTGAGGTAGCAACCGCCGCTTTTGAACGCACTTTTCTTCACGGCCGTCAACCAATTATGCTTGTCACACAAAGCGCGTGTGCCTTTGAAATGGTAGAAGTCGGCCTCATCGCGTATCCCCATCTCGAGGCATAACCGCAGCAAGTTTTGGCCTCTAACCAGGCTGACTACAGACCGACTCTCAGGTTCCTGGACAAATAACCCGGCTTTGACCTCGTTCCGGGGCTGGTTAAAGCCCAAGTCTGGTTGCTGAACATACAACCAATCTTTGACCAGCCGTAAACAGCCCCTAACCATCCATGATTAACGACCAAAAACTCCCGTTAACCGTCCAACGTGCAGGGCATGCCGGCTATAAACCTCAATGTGGCGCGCGTGTCCCCCGATGAGCAATTTCCGACCCAGGCGGGGGGCGTCGTCTATTTCGTCGGCGACACTGACTTCTTTTGCAACGGCACCCTAGTCCGCCAGCTGGCACTTTTCGCGCTCGTCAACACGGGCGCGTTGCGCGGGCCGAATCCGAACGTCTTCGGCCTTCAACTCGTCCAGACGCTGCTCGACTCCCTGGTGAGACTGGATTCGCTGACGTCATTCGAGGACTTAATAAACTTAAAAGGTTATAAGAGCAGCCGAGGGTCCACGCGTATTCAAAAAGCTACATGGAGGGTGTGCTACGCCGGATCCCGACCTGCATGGATCTGTTTCACACGAGATTTTGGTTGCCAGACTGAGTCTCAAGTTATCAGACCAATAACTGCGCGGGCTTTGACTTCGTTCCAAGGCTGCTTACCGCCCAATTCTGGGTTATTGAAAACTCAACCAGTTTTGAACCAGCCCATAGCCAGCCCATAACCATGCATGGTTACGGGCCAAAAACTACTGTGTTCGTCGAAAAGACGGCCGCTGCCGTCCTGTTTGAGAACGTTTCCTTTGAGACGAGCAGGAATAAATGAAAGATCCTCTGGTTTTTTGTTCGTATATGGGAGTGGTGAGGCTTCTCCCGCGTCCTTCGGTCGTGGGCCCCATCTCATGTGTTCCGAGTCCGGCCCCAACCGGGCCTTTCACAGGAAGGTTTGGCTGCTAACCAGGTTTGATAACCAGAATTTAGTGTGATTCTTTAACCGCGTTATAGCCATGTTAAAACCGTGGTTACTGCTCTAAGGTCTGGTTATTGGACAATTCAACCAGCTCTGAACCAGCCCGTAACCGACTATGTTTAACCGCCGCCAAAACTCCCTGTGTTTCTTTGCGCGCGCAGATTGAGTACAACAACTGTGCTTTCTTCGATGACGCCAGTCTGAGCCCCAACGGCGGCCTCCCGGCCACTCAGAAGAACGGCCCCCGGGTGCTCAACACAACGGCGCCCCTCGAGCTGCTGGACAGCTTCGACGACGCCGTGAGAGAGCTGGTCTTTGCGAACGGGAACCTCTTTGCCGCGCTCAACCACATAGTGCCCGGGGATGCCAACCGGCCGCCCACGGTGGGCATTGCTTGGTTCCTGATCACGCCCCACGTCGAACCGGCTGAAAACGGCCGCCCGGCAGAGGTCACGGGACGCGTTTTTAAGGCGGGTGTGGTCGCCGTTGTAAACAGGTGAGTCCCAGACACAGGGTTTTTGGCGGTTAACCATAGTCGGTTACGGGCTGCTTCGAAGCTGCTTAACTGTCCGATGAACAGACTCAGGCGGTAGTTAACCAGATTTTTAGCATGGATATATCGCGATTATTGGTCAGAGAATCAGATTGAGTGTTGGTTAGAGAACCTGGTTAGCAGCCAAACTTTCCTTTGGGTGTTTCGTTCCGGTGTCCTCATTACCAGCGACCTTCTCCGGCGCAAACTGGTCAAGATACTGGGAGAAAGTTATCAATAAGTGGCGTTGCGCCGATTTGGATGGTATCCGGGCTTGCTGTGCTGCAAGAAGAAAATTTTGATTTGTTCTGGTAGTCCGACATCTTCGCAGATATATATGGACCGTGTGCGCTAGCTTCGTGCTTCCGTTCTACTATCGTGCTGACGTATATCTCTCCCTGCCACCGTCAGCAACAACGTCCTCCACCCGTCGTTCGCCATCAATCGCAACGGGCGGGGCGTCATGGGCTTCTCCCTCTCGGGCCCCGACTTCTTTCCGAGCGTGGCCTTCGTCGCCTTCGATGACGTCAGCGGCCCCAAAGGTGACATTATCGTCGCGCGGTTGGGAGTGGCACCGGAGGACGGCTTTACGGGCTATGCAGTCTTCGCTGGCGGCTTTCCCCTGCCGGTGTCGCGCTGGGGGAATTACTTCATGGGCACCGCAGACGAGAAGTCGAACCTGTGGTTTGGAATCGAGTACATTCCGGACAGGCTCCGCGACCTGGCGGCCAACTGGGGCACGGGCATCGTCCGTGTGTCCGCAGTTTGAGTAGAGCAGAGTACGTCCTATAAGCAGAAGCAGCGTATGTCTTGTACGTTTTTGTTTGTTTGGTGATTTGGGCAACTAAGTTCATCAGATAAGCCCGTTTTGAGGAGGGAACTCAGTCCTCTGACCGTGTCGACTAGGTTTTTGTGACGGTTGGACAGGGTTT